AAGTCTGCGTCTCCAGCCCAGACTCACCCAGGAGCCCCGGACCCTCCACTCCTGGCCTCCACAGGACCAGCACCTCCATCGTCCACCCAGTGCCTGAGCACAAGACCTGGGGCCACCCTGCCTCCCCAGTCTCACTCCCAGGGGCCCCTTCCCCACAGTGAGGCCGTCCTCATCTCACTCTGATGACCACAAGCTCCCTGACCGGGACCCAGCTCTAAGCCCCTCCCGAGGCTGACAGAGACTCAAAGACACACCTGCGCTGTCCACCTGGCCCCACTCAAACCCCCTCCTGTGGCTGGTAGCACGCCCAGTCTCTCCTCGTGGCCCTGTGGCTGGTGGGAACACGCCCAGTCTCTCCTCGTGGCCCTGTGGCTGGTGGGAACACGCCCAGTCTCTCCTCGTGGCCCTGTGGCTGGTGGGAACACGCCCAGTCTCTCCTCGTGGCCCTGTGGCTGGTGGGAACACGCCCAGTCTCTCCTCGTGGCCCTGTGGCTGGTGGGAACACGCCCAGTCTCTCCTCGTGGCCCTGTGGCTGGTGGGAACACGCCCAGTCTCTCCTCGTGGCCCTGTGGCTAGTGGGAGCACGCCCAGTCTCTCCTCGTGGCCCTGTGGCTGGTGGGAACACGCCCAGTCTCTCCTCGTGGCCCTGTGGCTGGTGGTAGCACACCCAGTCTCTCCTCGTGGCCCTGTGGCTAGTGGGAGCACGCCCAGTCTCTCCTCGTGGCCCTGTGGCTGGTGGGAACATGCCCAGTCTCTCCTCGTAGCCCTGTGGCTGGTGGGAGCACACCCAGTCTCTCCTCGTGGCCCTGTGGCTAGTGGGAGCACGCCCAGTCTCTCGTGGCCCTGAGCCTCCGGCTCATGCTCCCGGCACCTGCAGCTCCAGGCCTCGCTGGGGAAACCCATCTCCCCATGCCTCTGGCAGACTCCCTGCCTATCTTTGCTTCACTCCCACTTGTCCTTTGAGATCCCGCTTGATGCCCAGGGACCTGCCAGGATCCCGGCTGTGCCTGATGATGATGGGGGTGGGGTCCCTGCCCTTGTCACTACAGGGGTGAAAACCACATCCAATCTGACAGCTACCTGAGTGTACCCCCTCCCTGCTCACTCCCCAGGACGTGGGGCAGCAGAGTGTGGGAATGAAGCCTCGTGACCCCAAAAGGGGCAGACCATGAGGAACTACAAGCCACTCAGATTTTCACCAGCGGATACCTGAATACTGCTGTTCAATTGCGTGTGTAAAGCAGGGGTGATGTTTAGCTGCAAACTTGAAAACATCAGTAATGGACGGTGGACACCAAAGGCTTCCCTGACATTGGGCAAATAAAACACAGTCCCTTGGTAAACTATGTCTAGATGCTTTAAAACCACAGCTATGACAGATGTATAAACACAGTACTAGCACCCGTCAGTTCTTTTAAACGTCCTTCAGATTTGTTAAGGCAGACAGAATCCAAGCAAAGAGGACAGAGGACAAAAGCGAAAGTTGGGCCCAACGCTGAGCCATCATGAGGCTCCTGCCACCTCCTGTGCTGGCCCCGAAGGCCCCTGCCTGTTCCCCACGGCCAACCTGCTTCTTAACCACACGCAACAGTGAGTCCTTGTCAGAGACTGTAACGTCACTCTAAAAGTGTTAAATCATTGCTTGTATCGAAACTCCTTCCTTTCAAACTATCCATTTCTTCTTGTTCTGTTTCTCTGTCTAACCAGAGAAAAGCAACTGGACACTTTCTGTGTCAAGTACCTCTGGCTGCCCAACAGGAGGAGAGAACGCCACCTCCTTCCAGAGCCTTTTCCTGTGTGGGAAGTAGAGGGACGTGGGCCCGGCTGCCACCTCCTTCCTGACAGATGGACAGGGTTGACCCAGGCATCCAGCACCGCTGAGGGGTTAGGGGAGCTCCCCAGGGCAGCCAGTCACTGGGGTCTCAGCTGGAGACTGAAGCCAGGGTCCCTAGCACGTTCTCCTTCATGGAAAGCCGTGATGCCCTTACGATGAGGCTCCAGAACGGAGGGGTCCCTAACCTGCCAATGACAACAAACACGCTCTCAACTGGGAGCCAGGCTTGGAGCCCGTCACACACAGAGCTGGGGCTCCTGCGCTCGGACCCTCCAGTCCCCTGCCACAGCAGCACGGCCCACCTTGGGGTGTGTCACCTGCCCCTGCCCAGGCCCTGCTGCCCACCCCCAGATCCCATCTCCTAAGTCTCTACCTGCCCCCTCAGCCCTGACCCTCGCTCGTGACCTCTTCCTCATCATCTGCCTCCACAGCACATTCCCCAGCACATTTCGGGAGCCCCTCGTTAACTCTGCTCGTCGTCTGCCTCCACAGCACATTCCCCAGCACATTTCGGGAGCCCCTCGTTAACTCTGCTCGTCGTCTGCCTCCACAGCACATTCCCCAGCACATTTCGGGAGCCCCTCGTTAACTCTGCTCGTCGTCTGCCTCCACAGCACATTCCCCAGCACATTTCGGGAGCCCCTCGTTAACTCTGCTCGTCGTCTGCCTCCACCAGGGAGTGAGAGACCTCAGGGTGCGGAGCCCCAGGCACCAGGCACAGTCGGTGCCGGGTAAACGTGTTTATCCTGTAACGCAGGCACGAACACACTTCTGGAATAATCAACTGCAGGTGTGTTGTGTGGTTATCTGCAAGTTACAGTCTGGATTTTCGTGTAATTTTTTAATAATCAGAATAATGTAAGTAAACCCAGGAATCAAACTAAATAAATGCAATTCTTAATTTCATTCAGATCTCACTGGGATACCCCCAACATTCTATTAAACTCTTATCTTTCCTTTACAAAAGGGCTGTGGGATTTCTCTCCCCAGGTCAACATGAACCCTCACAGTAGGAGGATTTATTAAAAAGAAATGTAAAATCTCAAGAAAAAAAACACAGGTGAGCAGACAAGCAGGGCCCAGGGAGAGAGCCTCATGATGAAAGTTTTCGTGAACACTTCTGCTGTGAAACGAACAAAGCAACAAAGAACCACCTAACAGTGGTGTCGATGGGAGCGCGTCTGTCTTAATTCCATCAGTGACATCACGTGAACTGATGTGCATGCCCCGGCTGCGCTGGTCTGGCTGTGAGCTGGGAGCCCCTTGAGGGGCCTGGGCCGGAATGGCTTTAGTGTGGAGTCACGTGGATCATTAATTCCACGCGCTATCCCCTTTTCCCCCTTTAGACACTAGGGGAACACCTAGTACCTCGTTCAGACATTACAAACTTACAGTCCATAAGACTGGCAAAGGAACATAACTAAGAAGCTCTCACAAACTATCATTTCTTACTCACAGAATACTAATGATGGGGAAATACTGCACAATTAATCTATTAATCCAATAGACTACCTTGCGCTAAATATAAAATAATCACACTTTAAAGTGGTTTTAAAAATATTATTTAAATGCACAATCCAAGAGTGAACCCTCAGGTAAACTGTGGACTCAGTGGTGGTGGTGTGGAGGCAGGTCTGTGGTTCCACCTCATGTACCTCCGGCCAGGATGTGGGATAGGGGCTAGAAATCTCTGCCTTCCACTCAACTTTCTGTGAACCCAACACCGCTCTCAAAAACAGTATTTTTAAATTTTTAACTAAACATATTATTTAAATTTACATATGGCCACATCTTAAAATGTAGCAGCCTCATGCAAAAATCAAAGAAGAAAGACCACAAGTGGCACCTGTGGCCAAGGCACCCCCTGCAACCAACAGCTGGTCCAGAACTTCCCCACTTGCCTGTTGGGGGAGAGATGCTGTTTGGCAACAGGACCCAGATCGCTCTGGAGGAGGTCCCAGATGTAGATGTTGGATGTGTCATCCTGCACCAGGAACACGGCAGGCCTGGTCGGGGACCACTGCAGGCCGGTGACTGCATGGCTGTCCGTGCTGCTGTCCCACTGCAGGAGCGGAAACGCGGAGCTCAGCTGGTGCAGCCTGATGCTTCCGTCTGAACAGCCAGCCTGTGACCAGGAAGGATGAACACTGCTGAGCATGGTCTTTTCCTTTCTTTTTTTGAGACAGGTCTCGCTCTGTCACCCAGCCTGAAGTGCAGTGGCACAATCATAGCTCACGGCAGCCTCGACCTCCTGGGCTCAATCAATCCTCCTGCCTCGGCCTCCTGAGTAGCTGAGACTACATGCATGCACCACTACACCTGGCTTCTATATCGTTCGTAGAGACGAGGTTTCACTATGTTGCCCAAGTTGGTCTCGAACTCCTGGCCTCAAGTGATCCTCCTACGTTGGCCTCCCAAAGTGCTGGGAGTACAGGTGTGAGCCATCATGCCAAGCCTCTTTTTTGCTTTTTCCTTAACTTGATCTCAGCAGCCAGAGAAATTTTTCAGAGGATTGGTTTTCTTTAGTTTGTACTGCAAAAACATTAATTTGTTGTTTTCCAAACATAAAATTATTATATTGAATCTCTCCTCAAAAATTACAAAGGTGAGCACTAACCTGACTCTGACACGCTTTGTTTCTCTTCCAAAATGGCCAATAATCAGCAGACTCAGTGAATATATAAACACGTATTTATTTTTAACAAAGTTGAGTATCAGTGATTCAAGCATGGGCCATTAACATTAGCTCCATGAAAATACAGCACCTTTTACAAAACTACATACATTTGTGTCAATAATATGGTTATATACTTCCCTTGGATTGAAGTTTTCATAAAATTAAACAACTGGTTTAATAAAAGACCAAATTTTTGGCTTTTAAAGAAAAGATTAATTTCTTTTTACTAAATATATTTTATCTTTCCCATTTTCAAAAAAAAAAAAGAAAAAATCAAGAATGGGAGTAAAATTCTAAAATGAAATATAAACAAATTTAAAAACCTACATTCCAAATGAATAACATAACCACACAGAAAGGAGGGGCAGGAACCAGGCCACACAATTTCTGAACACCCCAGGAAATGGCGCGCTTTATACCCGAAGCCCAAGCAGAGCCCGGAACACGGGCTGCTCAGTGGCCTTCATCTCCCCAGGCACGAAGAGCTCTGTGTATTCCGAGAGTGAGCATGTGAACGGATAAAGTGCAGGAAGCATCCACCAGATCAATCGTCCTAATAACACACTGTCTGAGAGTCAGGCACCGCCGTGGAGGAGGGAGGCTGGGGGGACCGTTTGTTAGCCTGGAGTTGGAGACGAGGGTGCAAACTCACAGGGTGTGATGCCTGTCTATGTGGTTTACAGATAAAAGCAGGTATTCCGTGTGCTGTGTCTCTGAGCAGGCCCACAAGTATGTCAAACACTTCTTACTGCCCGGATCTTGGCTTCTAGATATTTCCACCACTCATAAGAGCCAGAACTCTGAGGAGAAGTGGCTGGTTCAGGGCTCACAGGATGACATCAAAAGGATAAAGAGGCAGCTCGAAGGACAGCCACTGACCTAACCCAGAAAATTTGAGCAGCAAAATAAATACTGCTAGTAAATGATTATGACCTACTGAATAAAGTAAAAAGCAACGTGTCCACAACATGTAATAAATAGACACATACATCCATATACAGAGAAAGGAAAAGTCTTCCCCAACAGTAGAAAGCCAACTGGTACATGTAAAATTAACGGTGGGCTGGAAAATCACTACTTGCCAATCATCCTAATAATCAACTCAGGCGAGATTCATCCATGGATGCCGGAACTGGTGGTGAAAATCTAAGGAGTTTTGAGACGTTTACAAAGTGTCAGGGTATCTCCCCGTGAGACACTTCATCAGTGGGACCATGGTAGTTCCACATGGTCAGAATTAGTGTTATGTGGGATGGTACAAACTGACGTCATGGGTCTCCCAAGGACACACATCACCCTGAGCTCCTCCAGCCAAGCACGAAAAAGCTGCGTCTGTGACGGACCGAAACCTCAGACAAGCTCAGGCTCAAGAACATTCTACAAAGTAACTGGCCTGTGCCCTTCAAAAATGTCAAGGTCATGAAAGACGGAGGAATTCAGTCTTTGACATCCAGATCAAGGGAGTTTAAAGAGACAAACCACTGAATGAGACACATGAACTGGGACATGGTTTTTCTTACAAAGGACATTATCAGACAATCCATGCCATCTCCCTCCCTCTACAGATTCGATAGCAGCTTTGTACCAGTGTGAACTCCCTGGTGACCGTGACTACAACAGCTATGTGGGGATGTTCTTGCTTTTAGGAAACGCACGCTGAACTGTTTAGGGATGGAGTATCATGTCTGCAACTTCCCCTCAGACAGTGAAAATACGCGAACACCCAGAGAGAAGGAAGCCCACGTGGTACTGCAGAGGGTGCGCAGGAAGCCTTTGAACTGCTCGTGTAACTTCTCTGTAAGCCTGAAATTGTGTCAGAATAAAAGCTTTTTTAAAAAAAGTCCATTCAGGCTGGGTGCAGTGGCTTACGCCTGTAATTCCAGCACTTTGGGAGGCCGAGGGGGGTGGACCACAATGTCAGGAGTTCAAGATCAGCCTGACCAAAGTGGTGAAACCCCGTCTCTACTGAAAATACAAAAACTAGCTGGGCATAATGGCTCACACCTGTAATCCCAGCTACTTGGGAGGCTGAAGCAGGAGAATCGCTTGAACCAGGGAGTCGGAGGTTGCGGTGAGCCGAGATCGCACCACTGCACTCCAGCCTGGGCAACAGAGCAAGACTCCATCTCAAAAAAAAAAAAAAAAAAAATTCTATCCAATAACCACATGAAATGATTTGTTCCACATGGGCAGATAAGACTTTCAGAAAGCAGAGGTTCTATTTTTTTCAGAAAGCTGAGATGCATGCAGGCGACCCAGTGCCTCCGGTGTGTGGGTGGAGGTCCTCTTGGGAGGGTAGAAACAGGCCAGGGCAGAACCTTCCAGGGGCCGGCCCAGACACCTCTGGAGGCTCCTACGCCTCCAGACTCAGGAACACCAGGATACACGAGTCCTTTGGAAACATCTTTCTTTCATGCATCTTCACAAAACATAAGATTTACTGATAATGTGTACGCTTTAGTCACAGAGGCAGGGTCTGGACCACACAGATTACTATCCAATAGAAATATAATGGGAACCACAAATAGGAACCACATATGTAATTTAAAATTCTCATTAGCCAGGTATGGTGGGGTACACCTGTAATCCCAGCTACTCAGGAGGCTAAGGCAGGAGAATGACTTGAACCCGGGAGGCGGAGGTTGTAGTGAGCTGAGATCGTGCCACTGCTTGGGTGACAGAGGAAGACCCTGTCTCAAAAGTAAAAAAAAAAAAAAAAAAAAAAGAAAGAAAGAAAGAAAGAAAAATCCAGCAGCCACATTAAAAAGTAAAAAACAAACAAACAAACAAACAAAAAACAAAAAAATGCTGGGCATGGTGGCATGCACTTGTAGTCCCAGCTACTCAGAAGGCTAAGGTGGGAGGGTGGGAGGACTGCTTAAGCCTGGGAGATTGAGGCTGTAGTGAGCTATGATCATGTCACTGCACTTCCAACCTGGGCAACAGAGCAAGACCCTGTCTCTAAAAATTTAAAAAACAAAAAAGGTAAAATGTTACTTCAAAATGCAATCAACAACAAAATTATTGTTTTTTATTGAGATAAAAATATACATCAGTAATTTACCATCTTTATAATTTTAAGTGCACAGTTCTGGGGTAATAAATACATTTATATACTTAGTTTTCTTTTCATTCACACTAGCCTCCCGCTTTCCTGACTTCTGGTAGCCACCATGCCACACTCTGTCTTCATGAGATTCACTGTTTCGGCTGCTATATATGAGTGAGAACATGTGGTATTTGTCTTTTTGTGCCTTACTTAATTTCACATAATGGCTTCTAGCTCCATCCGCACTGCTGCAAATGACAGGGCTTCATTCTTTTTTACACCTGAGTAATATTCCATTGTGTATATACCACGTTTTCCTTATCCATTCATCCACTGATGGGCACTTAGGTTGACACCATATCTTGGCTATTGTGAATAGTGCCACACTAAATGTAAGAGTGCAGATATCTCTTTGATGCATTTATTTTCATTCTTGTGGATATACCCAGTAGTGGAATTCCCGGATAATACGGTGGTTCTATTTTTAGTTTTTTGAGGAACCTCCATACTGTTTTCGTAATGGCTGTACTAATTTACGTTCCCAGCAGCAGTGTATGAGGGCTCTCTGTCTTTTTGATATGAGCCAGTTTAACTGCAGTGAGGTGATGTCATGTTGTGGTTTTGACTTGCACTCCTGTGATTAGTGATGTGGAGCATTTATTCATATTTCTGTTGACCATGTGTATGTCTTCTTTTGAGAAATGTCTGTTCAGATCCTTTGCTCATTTTAAAATCGGATTATTTATTTTTTGCTATTGAGTTATTTGAGCTTCTTATATATTCTGGTTATGAATCCCATGTCAGATAAATAATTTGCAAATATTTTTGTTTCCTTTGCTCTTCAGAAGCCTTTTAGCAAGATGTAATCTCGACTGTCTACTTTTGCCTCCAGCTTTGTTCTTTTTGCTGAGGATTGCTTTGGCTATTCAGGATCTTTATTGATTCCATATACATATTAGAGCTTTTTTTTCTATTTTTGTGAAGAATTTCATTGGTATTTTGATAAGGATTGCATTGACTCTGTAAATTGCTTTGGGCAGCACTGTCACTTTAATAATATGAATTCTGCCAATCCATGAGCATGCAATGTCTTCCCATTTTTTGTGTCCTCTTCTATTTCTTTCATCAGAGTTCCAGTTTTCCTTGTATAGATCTTTCACATCTTTGGTTAAATTGATTCCTAGGTATTTTACAGTTTTGTTGCTACTGTAAAGGAGACTGCTTTCTTGATTTCTTTTTCAGATTGTTTGCTGTTGGCATATATACATGCTACTTATCTTTGTATATTGATTTTGTATCCTGCAACTTTACTGAATTTATGTATCAGTTCTAACAGTTTTTTTTGTTTGTTTGTTTTGGTGGAGTGTAGGTTTTTCTAGGAAAAGGTCATGCTGTCTGCAAACAAGGCTAATACGACTTCTTCCAGTCTGGATGCTTTTTATTTCCTTCTCTCGCCTAACTGCTCTGGCCAGGACTTCCAGTACTTAATTGAATGAGTGGTAAAAGTGGGCACCGTTGTCTTGTTCCAGCCTTTAGAGGAAAGGCTTACAATTCTTTTCCATTCAGTAAGATGCTAGCCATAGGTTTGTCTTAAACAGCCTTTATTATTAATATTTTGTGGTATGTTCCTTCTATGTCTATTTTGATGAGGGCTTTTATCATAAAGGGATGCTGACTGTTATCAAATGCTTTTTCAGCATCTACTGAAATGATGATATCCTTTTTGGTTTTGATTTTGTTAATGTGATGTCTCATATTTATTCATTTGCATATTTGGAACCATCCTTGCATCTCTGGGATGAATCCCATTTGATCATGGTGAATGGATCTTTTTAACGTCTTGTGGCATTTGGTTTGCTAGTATTTTGTTGAGGATTTTTGCATCTATGCTCATCAGGGATATTGGCCTGTAGTTTTCATTTTCTGTTGTGTCCTTGTCTGGTTTTGGCATCAGGGTAATGCTGGCCTTGTAGAACGTTTCCAATTTTTTTTTGATAGTTTGAGAAGTATTGGTATTAGTTCTTTAATTGTTTGGTAGGATTCAGCAATGAGGCCATCAGGTCCTGGGCTTTTCTTGATGGAAGACTTTTTATTACAGCTTCAATCTAATTAATCAGTATTGATTTACTGAAGTTTTCTATTTCTTCATGGTTCAATGTTGGTAGGTTGCATGTGTCCAAGAATTTATCCATTTCTTCTAGGTTTTCGAATTTGTTGGCTTACAGATGTTCATAATAGTCTCTAATGATTATTTGTATTTCTGAGGGTTCAGTTGTTGTATCTCCTTTTCGGTTTCTGATTTTATTTGGGTTTTCCCTCTTTTTTCTTAGTTATTCTAGCTAAAATGTGTTGATTTTGCTTATCTTTCAAAACCCAACTTTTCACTTCATTGATTTTCTGTAATTTCTTTGTCTCAATTTATTTCTGCTCTGAACTTTACTATTTCTTTCCTTCCACTAATTTTGAGTTTGGTTTGTTCTTGCTTTTCTCCTTCCTTGAGATGCATTGTTACATTGTTTATTTGAAGTCTTTCTACTTTTTTGGATGTAGGCATTTATTACTATAAACTTTTCTCTTAGTACTGCTTCTGCCATATCCCATAGATTTTGATATGTTGCATTCCCATTTTCATTTGTTTCAATAAATTTTTAAATTTCCTTCTTAATTTCTTAATTGACCCACTGGACATTCAGGAAGATGTTTAATTTCCATATGTTTGTGTATTTTCCAAGGTTCCTCCTGTTATTGATCTCTAGTTTTATTCCATGGTAATCATAAAAGATACTCAATATGATTTCTATTCTTCTGAATTTGTATGGACTTGTTTGCGGCCTAAGATATGGGGTATTCTGGATGATGTCTCATGTGCTAGTGTAAACAATGCGTATTCTGCAGCAGTTCAGAGGAATATTCTGTAAATGTTAGGCCTATTTGGTCTAGTGCAGGGGTCCCCAACCTCCGGGCCATGGACCAGTACCAGACCACGGCCTGTTACGAACCAAGTCGCACAGGAAGAGGTGAGGAGCAGGCGAGTGAGCATTACCACCTGAGCTCCACCTGCTGTCAGATCAGTGGCAGCACTAGATTCTCACAGGAGCATGAATCCTATTGTGAACTGTGTATGTTAGGGATCTAGGCTGCAGTCTCCTTATGAGAATCTAATGCCTGATGATCTGAGGTGGAATAGTTTCATCCTGAAACCGTCCCCCAAACCCCTGGTTCGGGGAAAAATTGTCTTCCACAAAAACCAGTCCCTGGTGCCAAAAAGGTTGGGGACCACTGTTCTAGTGTGTAGTTTAACTCTGATGTTTCTTTGTTGATTTTCTGTCTGGGTAATCTGTCCATTACTGAGAGTGGGGTGCTGAAGTACCCTACTATTGTTGCATTACAGTCTATTTCTGTTTTAGATCTATTAAACTTTGCTTTCTATATTTGGGAGCTCTGGTGTTGGGTACATAGATACTTGTAACTGTTATATCCTCTTGCTGAATTGACCCCTGTATCATTATATAGTAAATTGACCCATTATCATTATATATAGACCCCTCTTTATCATTTTTTACAGTCTTTGATTTGTAGTCTAATTTATTTGATATGAGTACAGCCACTCTTGCTCTTCTTTGGTTTCTAGTTGTATGGAATATCTTTTTCCACCCTTTCACTTTTAGTATGAGTGTGTCTTTATAGGTGAAGTGAGTTTCTTGAAGGCAGCATATAGTTGGGTCTTGTTTCTTTATCCATTCAGCCATTCTATGCCTTTTAATTGGAGAATTGAGACCATTTACATTCAGTGATATCATGGCTAAGTGAGAACATTCTACTGCCATTTTGTTGCTTGATTTCTGCTTAAGACTCCTCTCTTCCTCTGCTCCTTTCTGCCTGTCTTCCTTCTTTCTAGTATGTTCTACTTTGTTGCTTTTTGTTTTGAATGAAGCTATTACAGGCTTTTGTATTGTGCTTATTTACTTAATTATTGAGATGGGATCTCATTCTGTGACCTAGACTGAAGTGCAGTGGCAAGATCACAGCTCACTGCAGCTTTGACCTCCCAGGCTCAATCAACCTTCCCTCGTCGGCCTCCCAAGGAGCTAGCTGGGACTACAGGTGGGCATGGGCACCATTATACCCAGCTGATTGTTTTTTGTGTGTGTTTGTTTGGGTTTTTTTGCAGAGATGAGGTCTCATTATGTTGCCCAAGCTGGTCTCGAACTCCCAGACTCAAGCAATCTTCCCACCTCAGTCTCCCAAAGTGCTGGGATTACAGGCATAAGCCCGCGCACCCAGCCCTAAAACAAGTTATTTTAAAGAGAGAACAACTTATCTTAGAATACAAATAAAGAAATAAAAACAAAGGAAACACCAAGCAAAAAAATTCTACACTTTAACTCTAACCCTCACATTTTGACTTTCAGTTGTCTCGATTTATATATTTTTAAATTATTTATATCTTAAGAAGTTGCTATAGCTATTATTGTTTTTAATAGGTCTTTTGGGCTTCATACTAGAGCTATGAGCATATTGTACAAATACAGTATTACACTATTCTGGGTTTGTCCATGTATTTAATTATATGAATGGGCTTTATACCTTGATAAGTTTTTTGTTTTTTTGCATGTTAGTTTTTTTGTTTTTTTTTCTTTCAGGTTGAAAAACTCCCTTTAGCATTTTTTTTTTTTTTTTTTTTTTTGAGACGGAGTTTCACTTTATCGCCCAGACTGGAGTGCAGTGGCACAATCTCAGCTCACTGCAACCTCTGCCTCCCATGTTCAAACAATTCTCCTGCCTTAGCTTCCTGAGTAGCTGGGATTACAGGAGCCTGCCATCACATCTGGCTAATTTTTGTATTTTTAATAGAGACATATTTCATCAAGTTGGCCAGGCTGGTCTCAAACTCCTGACCTCAAGTGATCCACCCACTTTGACCTTCAAAGTGCTGTGATTACAGGCATGAGCCACCATGCCCAGCCTCCCTTTAGCATTTCTTGCAATATGGGTCTGAGGATTGTGAATTCTCTCAGCTTTTGTGTATCTGGGAAAGACTTTAACCCTCCCTCATATTTGAATGACAGTTTTGCTGGATACAGTATTCTTGGATAGCAGTGTTTTTCATTTAGCACTTTGAAAATGTCACTCTCCTCCCTCCTGGCCTGTATGGTTTCCACTGAGATGTCTGTTGCCAGATGAACCGGAACTCCTTTATATGTTATTTGCTTCTTATCTCTCACTGCTTTTAGGATCTTCTCTTTCTCCTTGACTTTTGTTTGATTATTAAATACCTTGTGGTAATCTTATTTGGGTTGAATCTGTTTGATGTTCACTGACCTTCCTATACCTAGATATTGACCTCCTGATGAAGTTTTGGAAAGTTTTTTGTTATCATTTCTTGGAATACATTTTCTAACCCTTGTTAGCTCCCTATTGAATTCCAATAATTCTTAGATTTGGTCTTTTGTGGTTATTTTCTCTGTCTTGTAGGTAGTCTTCATTCCTTTTTGTTCTTTTTTTCTCCTCTGACTGTGTATTTCCTTTCTTTTTTCCTTTTAGAAACAGCATTCGCTCTGTCACCCAGGCTGGAGGGCAATGGCACAATGAGGGCTCACTGCAGCCTTGGCCTTCCAGGCTCAAGTGATCCTACTGCCTCAACCTCCATTTGCCTCCACATGCCACCATTCTTGGCAAATTTTTAAATTTTCTTATAGAGATAGGGTCTCCCTATGTTGCTCAGGCTGGCTCAAGAGATCCTCCTTCCTTGGCCTCCCAAATGCTGGGATTACAGGCATGGGTCACTGCACCCAGCTTGATTGTGTATTCTCAAATAGCCTGTTTTGAGCTCAACAATTCATTCCTCTACTTAATCTACTCTGCTGCTGAAAGCCTATAATGAATTTCTTCAGTTCAGCAAATATGTTTCTCAGTTCCAAGATTTGTTTGATTTTTAAATTATTTCAATCTCTTTGTTAAATTTCTCTGATAAATTTCTGATTTGCTTTTCTGTGTTGTCTTGGAGATCACAGAGTTTCCTTAAAATTGCTCTTCTGAATTCTTAGCTCACAAATCACTGCCTCATTAGGTCAGTCACTGGATTTTTGCTTTGTCCTTTTGGGGAGGTCATGGTCCCCTGTTTGCTGCTGTTTCTTGTGGGTGTATGTCTGTGTCTTTGCACTGCAGGATTAGTAATTTATTCCAGTTTTCTCTGTCCAGCTTGTTTTGGTTTTTATTGAATATATTTACTTAGCAAATCTTCACTGCTAGGTTGCTGCCTCCTTTTCAGCTATAGGTGTCACCTTAAGACGAGGTTCACCTTAGCTGTATTTAGTGATTGAGGAGGCCTGTCCCAAATGAGGGAAGCCTCAAATGGTTTGTCCTGACAGTGTCAGGGTTCGTGTTCAGAAGACCTGTGGAACAAACCTTCCAGAGCATGGTATTGTGAGTGGCCAGTCTGATTGAGTGCCTCCTTTGGCTGAGGTGCAGAGTTTCCAGGGCTGGGGACAGTAGTCCCGCCTCCCAGCTTTGTTTCTGGGTGGCCTCAGGGGTATTTCTCCCTTCGGGCACTCGGGATGCTCTCCATGGGCCAAGGCAGGGACAGGGCACCCAAGAAAGTAGAGAAACTGGTTGTCCACCTCACTTTTACTTTCTCCAGATAGAAACCATGAGTTAAGGGGAGATTTTCCATGCACTTGGTGCCAGGCCAAATAAGGGGGAAGGGACATTGTGGATATGGAAGCCGAGTTCTCCTCCCATTTGCTTGGAGCTTTTCTACTCTCTGTGGCCCCAGGAACTGTGTTGTCTTCACACTTGAGCTCTAAGTTCTTACTGGTGAAGATCTTGGTGCTATGTATTTGGTTTTAGTTTTTTGTGGGAAGAGAAGTCATAAAAAGCTCAAGAGCTCTACACTGGAAGTCGCCAACAACAAAATTGTTAATGAGACTTTTTTGTTTTCGTTTTTAGATGGAGTTTCGCTTTTGTTGCCCAGGCTGGAGTGCTATGGCACTAGCTCGGCTCACCACAACCTCTGCCTCCTGGGTTAAAGTGATTCTTCTGCCTCAGCCTCCCGAGTAGCTGGGATTACAGGCATGTGCCACCATGCTGGGCTAATTTTGTATTTTTAGTAGAGACGGGGTTTTGCCCCTACCTCAGGTGATCCACCTGCCTGGGACACCCAAAGTGCTGGGATTATAGGCGTGAGCCACCGTGCCCAGATAACTTTGTATTTTTAGTAGAGATGGGGCTCCTCCATGTTGGTCAGGCTGATCTCGAACTCCCAACCTCAGGTGATCCGCCTGCCTCAGCCTCCCAAAGTGCTGGGATTGCAGGCGTGAGCCACCATGCCTGGCCTAATGAGACATTTTACATTCTTTTATTCACACTAATTCTTCAAAATTTGATGTGTATTTCACACCTCCAGCACATCCCAGCCTTGCCTGGCCACAGTCTAGGCTCTCAACAGCCACAGGGGGATGTTACTCAGCAGCTAAATGCTGTCTTTGGAAATACAAAGATACATGAAATACCATCTCCACCCTCAACAACCTTACAGTTTATGTGACTGACATATAAACATAATTTATAATGTTTTAAGTACTATAAGAATAGTGTGAATAAGTAACAATCTTTCCCCTCAATCTCAAGTACAGGGAAATTTGTAAATACTAGTGAGAGAAGGAGATATCTGAGCTATAATTTAATGCCTTGACTATTGTATAACTCTTAACTATCACATTTAATCATGTATAAAGTTGTTTAATATTTTGCCTTCTGTCCTATCTTACCCCAACCAACCCATAAACTGACCTTGGAGTCTACAGGACAATTGTGACTAGGGTGAGCTGGGCAGACACCAGGCCCTGGAAGGAAAGAGAGTGAGCAGCTCGCACCCGCACACACATTTCCTGCAGCATGAGTGCAGCGCGGGGATTGCTGCCCTCCCGATGGCCATCCCTGGACTTTCAGGTTAAAGACTCTGAACAATTTATTTCTATTGTGTTAAACAGTAAAAGAACACAGGCAAAAATTCTCACACTAAGAATTTCTTCACATTTTTGGCTGTAGCATAGGTTTTGGTATTTGATATTCTTCTGTTAAATTCTAACTAGCTTGTAATTGAACCAAATATTACTTGAGAGTTTAATTTCTACATAGGTTTTGTTTTTAAACTTTGTTATTAATTTCATGTTTCTCCTTTCTAAACCACTAACACCCCATAAATGATCAATTAGTGGTCTAGTAAATGATCAACTTTTAAAATTTTCCAGTGGATCAACTGCAAGTGTTACGCTGCCCAAATAGGCAGAGTATCATTAAAAAGAATTGGTAAGCCTAGGCAACCCAGGGAGACCTCGTCTCTACAAAAAAATATGTATTTTTTAATCAGCCAGGTGTAGTGGCATGCACCTGTGGTCCCAGCTACTTGGGAGGCTGAGGTGGGAGGGTCACTTGAGCCCAGGAGTTCAAGGCTGCAGTGAGCTACGATCACACCACTGCACTCCAGCATAGATGACAGAGCAAGACCCTATCTCAAAAAAAGAAAAAAAGAATTGGTGCTTTAAAAAACAAACTTTCTTACCAAAAATATTGGTTCTCCAAATGGTGAAAAATCAATGACATTAACTTTTACTGGCCTTATACCACGTTGCTGAGGTTTGAATAGTTTGGGAGCCACTCTCAAATCTTGTCTTGTGCCATGGCTTATGAGACCCTGTGAAAAAGAAGCCCAAGAGTGACTAAGAAGTGCATTAGATACGAGATTGGATACAGTTACTGTTCCTCAAACAATTTAAACTTTATAAAAGCAAAGAGTAAGTTAATCCTAAATCAAGATATTTATCAGGTAACTCAGGAAAAGAAGGAAAATGAGTAATAGAATTAAATTTAAAATACTACTCACCATGTCTGTGCCAACAATGAAGTGATTAGGGTCTGAAGGCAGAAATTTAACATTCAGTGTTTGTATAGTCCCCAAAAATTCAATATCTTTATGGGAAAGACTGAAAAAATAAAGTAACAAAGACGAACAGATGGATTATTTTCAAACTTTAAAAATAAGATGGTATCAGCACTCATTTGCACTACAATACATCATTCGATATATAACAGGCCATGTCACATTCCTCTGGTTTAGCCACTCTTTGTTTCCATTTTTTTCTGCTACTACACTCTTGATAGTTTTTTCAGATTTATCCTTCTGTTCACTAATTCTTTCTTCAGCTATATCTAATTGGCTATGTAACCATTCACTTGGTTGTAAATTTCAGAGATAACAGTTTCATTTCTAGAAATGTCTTTTAGATTGTACAACTGTCTCAAGTTCTTAAGTGTGTGACTCCTACTTTTTGCACCAAGGTACACTGTTTCTTCATGCTTGTAGTTGTGAACTCATCTGCAGCAGACTGCTTCTCATGAGAATCCTGTGAGCCCCCACTTGCAAACTATCTTTACCCACCAGGAGGTTTTGTGTCTACTTTAACTATGAACCCACTGAGGCCACTGGTCTAGAACTGTGATGTTAACATCTCAGCTTGTAGGTTGCCATACATACACTCAGCTTAGGACTTCAAGCTCTTCCAAGCTCCTCTGTCTTCTCTTGGCTGTGGTGAGGCTTTCTGAATTTCCCTATCACTGCAGGAGCAGTGAGTTTGAAAGTCCTGTGCAGGGGTCTCAGTTCTACCTCCTTGCCTCAGGCAAACCCAATGCATCACCTGTTTCTGCATGGGCTCAAGCCCCAGAGACAGCTCAGAAGGTCTGAGATAGCCTGGGCTTCACATCCAGCCTCCAAGCAATCACACAGCAGCTCAAAAGCTTATGACACTAACTTTAAGCTCTCTCCTGTTTATGGCATTTAGAGATTTTCCTTTCCTTTTAAAAACTATACTTAATTTTTTCCTTTATATGGCCTATGTATTTGTAACAGAGAGATGCCCACAATTGCTCCATCTGCCACACCCACATCATCAAAGTCAGCATGTGGCCGTGCTATCAGCCTCCTTTCCAATGTTCTCTTTCTGTCCACACTCAGGACTGCAAATGTCACCTCTTAGTTGATGACTCTCAAATCCTTACCTCCATCTGGGGTTTCTGTTATGGAGGCCCCTTGTTCCTGGGCATCTCCACGGGCACCACAAGCTCAGCCTGTCCTCACTGGACCACACTGGGCTGCTCCCATCCCTCCCCACTCTTATTCTCACCTAGCAAATGGTGCCCAGTCACCAACCAGACATGCTGGTGGAGCCAGAGGCCAATCTAGGCTCCTCCCTCCCACCGCTCCTATAATCGATGAGCTGCTGGGTTTTTAAAGTTCTACCCCTTTAGCCTCTATACCTGTGATGCTGCGTTTGTTCAGATCCTGGTAGTTCACGTCAGTCACTCCAGAAGCCACCTAACGGCTCTCCCTGACTCCAGCCTCCCTTCCTCTGTTCCCAACTTACACCGCTACCACACCGACCCATCTACATCACAGACAAGATGCACTACTCCTCGGCTCAACATCCTGCAATGGCTCGTGACCACCTTTACACTAATGTCCACACCCTTTAGCACAGCAGACAGACTCGTTAGGGCCTGCCTCACCTGTCTCCCTCAACATCAGACCCACTGACAGCTCCAAACGTGCCTCTGGGCACCCCCAGGTGCTGCTCCCTCTGACCATCTAACTCCATCTCAGTCTTTGACTCCTTAAGATGTCCCCATTGCACTCCATCCCCCAAGCTGCCTCCATCCTTTGAGCTCCCACAAGCCCTGTGCACATCCTGACACCACACTTCGTCCTCTGCACGATGACCCTAGTGGACGGGGCCCAGCTGCAGGGGTGGTGCAGGCAGAGCCGCGGGACCTGCTTCCCCGCAGGCAATGACCTCCCGGGCACACTCATGCTCAGTGACTGACGGGATATGGGGTATAAAGGCCTGGCCACATGATTCTGGGAGGCCATTCCAGCTCAGAACTCCCGGGTCCTGGGGAATCGGCTGTGGGGCCTGCCTCACAGCTCAGCTCCATTCTGCCTCCTCCCCACCCTTTCCCAGGCAGTGAGCCCAAGGAACTCCCTGAGAAGTATCCTCACTCTGAACTCCACTGCAGAGCCTTCTTCCTGGGAAAGCAGGGAGCCCCCGCTGCAATCACATAACGTTTACTCGTCTGCCTCCTTCTCGGAGCACCTTCAGGGAAGATGCTCCCCACTAGTGCTACAAAGCCTGGCACACAGAATAAGCTCAATATGGTTGGTTGAGCAGAGTCTGAGGGAACATTTATTATGCGTGGATCTCAGGAAGACACTGCTAAGAGTTTTGGGGTATGAAAAAACCCAAACGTCGGACACATTACACACTTTCCTTCAAAGAGTGTGTGTGCAGTTAAGTACAGGAGAAGCTGATAATTAAAGATAAATACAACACACAGTATAAAGCGGTAAGGACCCTAGCAGAGATAAAAAGTCGTAAAGAAACTCAACAGGGGAACTGCAGAGGCTGCAGGGGTCAGGGGCTCGCTCAGGAACCGTGTACGTTTGGCTCTGCAATACAGTAAATGACTTTTTAAAATATAACTCTCTTTCATAATTAGTTGTAATTACTAATTACAACTGCAGTTGATTTAAAGTCTCCAAGCATGCATGAATTCATTAACACAACCCACAGGTTTTCTGATTAGGAAGAACCAGGCCCAAAAATTTTTCAAGGGTAATTCACATGTTGATAGTTGACCCCTGAGTGCAGTAAACGATAAGAGATACTTTAAGAAATAAATTAACATAAAACATATAAATACCACAAACAATATTTATACATTTGTGAAGAATTTTTATGTCATATTAAGTTATGTGAGTAAAAGCAGAAATCTAAATCTCTGAATAAAACTTTTTATCAATGTTTCCGGTTCCTGAAACTTTTAAGTTTGGGGCGGCATGAAAACTGAAGAATAGTTAAATAGGACCAATTTAAAAGACAGAAAATAACCTCTACTTAAAGACAAAATGTTAGCTCTACACCTGGAAGCTGCATCTATTACATTCACTCATTAATAACAGACTAACAAGGCCAGGTGTGGTGGCTCATACCTGTAATTCCAGCACTTTGGGAGGCCGAGGCGCGTCCATCACCTGAGGTCAGGAGTTTGAGACCAGCCTGATCAGTATGATGAAACCCCGTCTCTACTAAAAATACAAAAATTAGCCAGGCATGGTGGCGGGCACCTGTAATCCCAGCTACTCAGGAGGCTGAGGCAGGAGAATCGCTTGAACCAGGGAGGCAGAGGTTGCAGTGAGCCGAGATTGCGCCACTGCACTCCAGCCAGGGCAACAAGAGCGAAACTCCATCTCAAAAAAATAGAAAAATAAAAATAATAGACTAATAAAACAGTAAAAAAAACAATGTGAGAAAATGGACGTCTTCATCGCAAAAGCTCGCCATTTACCATATATGCAATTCCCCAGTGTTATTTTCCTTCTAGGTCTTTGTGAAATAGTGAAGTGTTTTCCCTCACATCTTACCTGTCACCCAACTGGATCAGAGCACTATGTACCAGCTTGACCCTCCCTCCAGGCATCAGGCCTAAAAAAAAGATGAACCAAAATCAATGCACCTTTCAATAGAAGCTAAATCAAAATCTAGTTATAGTTGCCTGGAATCATTTTTCATTGCCTAAATATCTGTGTTACGAAATAACATCAAATGCAAATCAATACACAGCATCCCTTCCGTCCTCTGGGTGAGGTTCATGTATACTCCCTTAGGAGAAGAATCCAGAATTTGCAGTTCAAAGTCTTATGGGAAGAAAGATTGTAGAACCATGATCTGAGAGCCTTTATATCTTTAGATCTGATAAAATAAGGGCGGTAAGCAATCCGTACATGCGTATGAATGTACATACACTAAACAAGCCTTAGATCACAGCAGCAAACGTTGCCCTGTGAATGTCTACCGAGGCTCCAACGCCTACAGGAAAGTTGCAGGACCTCTCCTTCCACCATCCCAGAGACTCAGAAATCTGCTGGTCTCCGGGCAGAACGTACAGAAGGCAGAGTGGCTCCTCAGCCAACTGCATCTGGCCTCACTCTTTGTTCCAGCAGCTTCTCCAGCTTCCTTCTCAAACAACACAGAGCCACGGCTCTGAGGCCTGACTGCTTTTCTTTTCCTTCCCTGAAAGCATTCATGGCTACAGCTCTGGCTCCTTGGCCATCCACTGGTTTTGCCTCCTATGTCTGCTCCCAGTATCACTTTTTCTCTAAAACTACCGCAAGGAGAAAAATTAGAAATCTATGGATGTTAAAACCCAAATTCTGGGTAAGGCATTGCCTAGAACTCTGGGGGCAGGTGAATTAAAAGCAGATAGAAATAAACCCAATCTGCAGCTGGGCCGGGTCCCTGTAGCTGCTGCGTATCTCCTGCCAGTCACAACCACAGTGAAGAAGGGTCAACGCTGCCATTCACAAATGTGTAGCTTCCCGGCACACCCCCCACCTGGCATCTCGGCTCCCACACCACCGGCCATGGGCAGCTTTTCTGGCCGGGCCCTCCCACTGGCCCCTACATGCCACAGCCCACAGGCAGCCTTTCTGGCCAGGCCCTTTCCAGCTGGGCCCCTACACACCATTGCCCACAGGCAGCCTTTCTGGCCAGGCCCTTTCCAGCTGGGCCCCTACACACCATTGCCCACGGGCAGCCTTTCTGGCCAGGCCCTTTCCAGCTGGGCCCCTACACACCATTGCCCACGGGCAGCCTTTCTGGTCAGGCCCTTTCCAGCTGGGCCCCTACACACCACCACCCATGGGCAGCCTTTCTGGCCAGGCCTTCCCACTGGCCCCTACACGCCACCGCCCACGAGCAGCCTTTCTGGCCGGGCCCTATTGCTGGGCCTCCGCTCCAGGAAGTCCACCGCCAGTCGCTCTCTCCCGGACTGGGGTCTTCGCCCAGGTCTCCTAGCACCTAGGACTGGACCTCGCTTATGCAGAGAACACTTCATAAAAAGATGCTGGCTGCCTCCTTCTGAGACTTGAGCTCTCCAACAGCCACTCATCCAACGCCTACACAAAGAGCTGGCAGCCACCGTGAACAACGGGCTGGTCTGAACGTCCTCCCTTCCTAAAGGCAAGGCTGGAACATGGTAGCAATTTTGGTAAGTGGTTCAGTGAAGAAAGGGTGTTTCTATACAGCAATATTTTTAAATGAAATACTCACCCTCCAGGATATTCTTTATATGATTATCATGTACTACAAAACATTTGTATGCAAATACTTTTTATGCAAAATGATTTTGTCTCCATAGCCACCTGACTATGGACAGAAATGATCTCCTCAGTACCATCCGTAATTGTTTGACAAATACCTTGATCACATAACAAGTTAATAGTACAACCAGCCTCAAGGCGAACTCTCAAGGTCACAAGAGTTCTGGGCATCAGGCCGGGCGCGGTGGCTCAAGCCTGTAATCCCAGCACTTTGGGAGGCCGAGACGGGTGGGTCACGAGGTCAGGAGTTCGAAACCATCCTGGCTAACACGGTAAAACCCCGTCTCTACCAAAAAATACAAAAAAAAAACTAGCCGGGCGAGGTGGCTGCGCCTGTAGTCCCAGCTACTCGGGAGGCTGAGGCAGGAGAATGGCGTAAACTCGGGAGGCGGAGCTTGCAGTGAGCTGAGATCCGGCCACTGCACTCCAGCCCGGGCGACAGAGCGAGACTCCGCCTCAAAAAAAAAAAAAAAGAGTTCTGGGCATTTGGGGCAGAACCCTGGGTGTGAAGGGGGGGCTGGTGCTGAGACCGACTGTGTGGGTCTCACCCCATCACTAACCCACCCCGTGACCTGTGTGCATTGAGAAGGAGGCACCAGGACCCCTGCCAGGCTCCCTAGCTCTGACGCTCCGGGATTCTAGGGGCAGCCTGGAGTGGACAACACAGAGCAGAATGGTTCCATGAGCAGAGGGTGCCGCATGAAGAACACATTGAGAAACATGGTGATTCCACCTCTAAAGCATCTACCAGTGAAATGAATGCCACGATTGTCTTATTTTTACTGAAGTCAGAATCAAGAGTCAATTCGTAAGGGCCACCACAGACATGTGAATACAGAGCACACAGCATTTGCTCCAAGGGCCAAAGCGCCCTCTTCCCGAATCTCAAGAGGTTAGGAACAAAGCCGGTCTCATTCATATTATTTTTTGCCAGATCTACACGGGAAAACACCCCGATACAAGCAAGGTGGAAGGGGAGCTCATCATTACAAACTGCGTGGTGGGAAGCCAATGAGGTGAGAAGGAAGTTGAGATCAAAACATGGGCTAATCTCAACCACAGAACACAACAGGACTGAATTACTCCATCACTTCTGAGCCCTTTCTGGAACTGAAAATCGTACTCCATAGCATCAAGAGCAGCAACTGTGAGAGGTGCTGTTAGCTTTGCTTCAAGTCGCTTCTGCTCTGCCCAGACCCGGGGACCTTTGCCATCCTGGGATCCAGTCTAACGGCCCTCAGGGGCAGCATCCAGTGTTCCTGATACGCCCTGGGGTTGTGAATCCAAAACTGAAAGGAAGAAGCCCCAAAATGAATGCGCACTGAAAGACTCGGACACCTGAAATATGTAGGAAACAGCTGCAGAACACGGCTGTCCTGGACTTGTCTGACAGAACTGAATGGTACTCAGTTGTAAACAGAACTCATTAAATCCTACTAAAATCAAAACATTCACTCAGAGGCTGGATGTGGTGGCTCACGCCTGTAATCCCAGCACTTTGGGAGGCCAAGGCAGTGGATCACCTGAAGTCAGGAGTTTGAGACCAGCCTGACCAACATGGTGAAACCCTGTCTCTACTAAAAATACAAAAATTAGCCAGGCCTGGTGGTGCACACCTGTAGTCCCAGCTACTTGGGAGGTTGAGGCAGGAGAACTGCTTGAACCCAGGAGGCAGAGATTGCAGTGAGCCCAGATCACACCACTGTACCAGCCTGGGCGACAGAGCAAGACTCTGTCTCAAAAAAAAAATTTTTTTTGATTATTCTAGTTAATTGAGACACCTGTTCAACAGTTGATACGGTTATATGACATACAACTTTAATTTTCATTTTTCAGGTAGTAATTTGTATTTTTCAAAGCAGTTATTGGTATTTTTTTTTTTAAACAGAGAAACAAGGTCTCATTCCATCACGCAGGCTGGAGTGCAGTGGCAAGATCATGGCTCACTGCAGCCTCAATCTCCTAGGCAATCCTCCCGCTTTAGCCTACCAAGCAGCTGGGACTACAGGTGTGCACCACCACGCCCAGCCAATTTTTGAATTTTTTGGTACAGACGGAGTCTTACTATGTGGCCCAGGCTGGTCTCAAACTCCTGGGCTCAAGCGATCTTCCTGCCTCAGCCTCTCCCAGCAGGCGTGAGCCACTGCGCCTGGCCATACTTATCAGTGCCTTTAATCTCTATTCATTTTAGAAAACACTAAAATTCATTTTTTTACTTAATAGTTACCTAAATCACTTACTGAACCTGCGATGTCTGCCTTTGGTAATTCAACAACCACCTAAAAATAGAACATTGAAAATGAATATTGATACATTTTATAATTCTGACACAACCTAAGCAAAGCATAGCTCTAATTAAGATGGAGTGCTATATTAGGTACTACAACGTAACTGCTCCAGAAAAAGACACTGATCTTTAGCCTCAGAACTAATGCTCTACAAGCTGACTCCTTTGCTTTGATCTCCTCGTGTTCTCTTCACTTGGTGACTTAATCAACAGTCTTGGCGCATCCTCCAGGACAAGCCAATCCAGTGTGACCTGGGCCCTAACATTTTGTTCCCTTCCCACTTTCATTCCACGTTCCCAAAGCCCTGTGTGCAATTCCTATTTCGCTGTCATGAAAGGGCCCCAAACTTGCCATGTGTGACCTTCTGCTCAGGACCAGTAAGCCGTCTTGCTCTCCATTTCCCACTATAGCTAATTGGGCCTTGCCCCCTGCGCCATTCAGGCGCCACCTCCACCCAGACCACCTCACTCAGGCCCCACATGTGCCTGGCCCGGACCACTACTCACCCACACATTGAGAACCCCACTCTCATCCAAGGAAGCGATGTGGAAGGACAAACCTGACATTTCTGATGAAAACAGAAACAAAAAGAAAGAAATGGCTTTACATAAGGAAACCATATTTCACAACTAGTGATTAAGAATTTTAAGAAAGTGAAGAATCACGTACCTTCCTGAGTCGAAAAGGGCGAAAGCACAAAGCTCTGCTTTTTGTGGACGGACGTCGAGATAGGTTCTACTGCTTGCAGAGGGCTTTGGTGGTTTACTGAGGTAAGGATTCCATCTGGAGTTCAAAATCCCACAGCACCCACGTGTAAGTAATAAGTTGCAGAAATGTAGCTGGCATCACACATGGACAAACATGAGGTGCTTCTGGGTCTCACAAATCTGACTCTCTCCACACATCTTCCCAAAACACCCCAGGACCAACATGGACCACATACGACTGACACAGGACCACAACTTTCACATTCCTAGGACACAGGGGCCCCAGCCCCCGCTCTCCAGTAAGAAAGCGTCAGTTCCCACAGAGCTCACTGGCCCTGTGGGTCTACGGGTCTGGAGGGCAGGAAGAAAGCTAAAGCCCACCACCCAAAGACAGCATGCCACACAGCCCGAAAGAAAACTCAGACAGAGAGAGTCTCTGCGAGGCCAGATCCTGGGGGTCACTCAAGCAACTGAGGGGAAGGAGCTGGGAGGCAGAGGAGGTCGGAGCAGCATGGCTCATGGGAAGGGGAATGTGACCAGGAAAGGGAGGTGACCTCCACACACACCCGACAACTGCCAGAAGAGGGAAATCCAGGCGTTTGCAAAACCAAAGGAACGGCAAACCCACTCCACCTACCACCTTAAGGCACAATGCCCACTAAAAAGATACCTGTCACGAATCAACAAAGCAAAGCTCACTGACTTAAAATATCCATCTACGGAATGCCTATGAGCAGAAAAAAGCCAAACTCCATAGAAAGCTACTATAAGAAGAAAACAGAAAAAAATGTAATCAAAGCATTTCAGCTGATGAAAATTCTCCCTCCTAAAAACAAGCACAAGGCAAAAGACACAAAACTCAACGTTCCAAATGGAATCACATCTCCTCAAAGGGCATCTAGAAACATATCAAAACAACAAACAAGAAAAAAACACCGGGAATCAGAAATCAAGAACAGAATTGGACCCAAGAAAGCAAGAAATGAAATGAGAATTGGGATTGAACTCGGGAAAAAAACTGAAGAAAAAGACAAAATCATCTCAGAAATTAAGAAGAAATTATAGGGTGTTTAAGGGAAAGGACCCAGATGAAGCGCTGATGGCTTGACTGAGGAAAGGGCTGGTCTCTCGGGCGAGAATTTGGTTCCTCTGACTCATGGTCTGAATCAGAAGTTCCACAGCTCCTCACTACTGAGAGTTTATTTAAAACTTTGTAGGTTTTATTGATAATATTTCAAAGACAAGGCCAGGCGTGGTGGTTTATGCCTGTAATCCCAGCACTTTGGGAGGCCGAGGCGGGCAGATCACCTGAAGTCAGGAGTTCAAGACCAGCCTGACCAACATGGAGAAACCCCGTCTCTACTAAAAATAAAGAAATGAGCCAGGCATTGGTGGTGGGCACCTGTAATTCCAGATACTCAGGAGGCTGAGGCAGGAGAATCGCTTGAACCCAGGAGGCAGAAATTGCAGTGAGCTAAGATCGCACCACTGTATTCCAGCCTGGGCTACAGAGCCAGACCCATCTCAAAAAAAAAAAGAAGGATGCATTTTAATGGAATAATTTATTTGTATGTATAGTCTAGAGGTTTACTGTTTTTGAAAATGGTGCTGCATTCAAAAACTTTTTAGTAATAGCAGCAGCAGTTAGAAAAGGCGAAGATTATTTATTTAAAAGATATCTTTTAAAATAGCATCGCAACCCAAAAGTTACCTGTAAATTCAAACAGTCTTAACAGTGTAACATTGCCCCACACAGAGGGGCACAATTCATGGTTGGGGAATTTAAAAAGTGCCTCTCTTATGTACAATGTACAGATACACATGTCAAACACAGACAGACACGCAACATATCTACGATAAGAAAGCCACACAGAGGGGTGAGTGATGAGCTTGGCCTGCACCTTCAGTCCACAGCACCCCAGCCCCTACGGGAAGAGGTGGTGCAGGGCGTGGCATGGGGTCCGAGGGCAGGCCCCGCCATGTGGTCAGCGTGACCTCAGACGAATGCTGCATCTTCCCGTGGAGCTGGGACTCAGGACTCTCAGGGGAATTAAATGAGACGATGTACGCTACGCACCAGGACGAGTCCCAGAACATAGGAAACACTTATGCCGGGTGCCTGCTGTGGTGTCTGGGCACGGCGTGGTATGAACGTCCACCCGAGTCAAGCCGAGGCTCAGGGAGGCCCAACTGTGCTGGTTCCAGGCAGCACTCAGGGTGACTGGCTTTGCTCACGTGAGTGTGAGTTACCTTTGTCCTGGAGGACACACGTGCCAAGATGCCTCAAGCTACTTTAAAACTAAAGGTAATATCATTGAGGATTTTTTGGAATCCATAAATTTAATAAGAAAGGAAATTCGAGTCATTCTTGGCCACTGCATAATCATGATTAGAATTGATTTTTGTTTTTTATATTTGTCAAATGCCTCTTTTGCCCATGAGTCAGACCCCATCCTCTGAGACAATGTGAATAAGTAAATGCAAATTCATGTAAAGCTTTGTTCCTCAAATCTGTGTGGCTTTTTTAGAAGACACACAATTGGCAGGTGGATGACACTGACCGGTGGAAAACGTGGCCGTCCGGAATGTCCAGAAACCATCGCTCAGCTTCATAGAGTGATGCAACCTTGAGTCTTCTCTCAAATCCCAGACGACGACTGAGCCATGCGCTGTTCCGGCAAACAGTAAAAATGCTTTGAATGGGCTCAAGCAGCAACACGTCACCTAAAAGACAAATGCACAGAAAGCCAATGACTGAAGAATATGAGAAGCATGCTCACAGAAGCTGCATTTACTGAGTGAGGTGTCTGACCATGTTTCACTTTGCACGGGAGTCACGTGCAGGACATGGTAAGCAGAACGTGAACTCCCACACAGAAATAAAAGGTGGCTTGTCAGGTTCCTGAAATAACAGGGATGAGAAACCAACCCCGTAGGCTTGTTATGATCACAAATGCAAGGTGCTGACACTCATCTGGTCACACAAAGCCTGCCAGGAGCCCATCCACTCAACCCAATCAGCTGAACCTCAAAAAAGTAGCAGTTCCATCCTGCACCGTTTTACTTACATCTTGTATTACAAAAGTTACAATTTCAACAGTTTTTCTACAATTTTTGTGGAAATCAATGGTTTTGAGGCCAGGGAATACATAACTAGGAAAATACAAATGCACATTTTCCCAAACATAGAGAGGCAGCCCCGACCCCTCACTGCACAGTCCTCAAGCCTCAGTGCCAGCCTCCTAGGCGGTGAATGGGAAGCCTCCGGAAGGACTCTGAGCGACAGCACACTTCAACACAGTCTAAGAAACCTCAACGCAGTCTGAGAAACCTCTAAAACACTCAGGACCGAAACAGTGCAAGACAGAAAAACAGGCAACGAGGGCCCCAGAGCTATGCCGAGCGTGGCCAGTATTTTCATTCAGCCTATAACTACCTCCATTTCCTAATTCTCAGCTGACCTAAAGCGGTACTCTGTGAAAATTCTCGTTTGCTCATTTTGAACTACGAATTTCCAGAGTCAAAACAAGCACACCCACGCGTCTCACTGCACCCACAGCACAGCTGAAGCCAGCTGTGAGAGGCAGAGAATGGCCCGTAAGTTCCTACCCACCTCCTGTCCCTGCGCCTCTCCCCATGCCTGCACCTTCACGCTCTGTCCACCGCCCATCCTCCCATCAAATGCGCGACTCTCCTCCTCAGCTGTACCTGGGACTCACATATCAGAACCTTCTGTGGCCCTGAAGGCTGCCAAATATCCCACACACAGAGGACGTATTTGCTGTCCAGCAGGGGCACAAAGGCCTTCTCGGGTAAGTCGTGAACGGAGACCACCATCTGCCTCTGAACTCGGGAGGCGTGCAAGGAGGATACTTTTCGATCTAGGGAGAAGAAAAATATGTTCACATTTTAGTGAGCTAAATTAACACACTTCCGAATACTCAAAAAAAAAAAAAAATTCAGCTTCATGAAGAAACAAACATGGTCCTTTCAAAACCAACATACATGAAACATAGGTTTTGATGAATGGCCACAGCCTATGCCCGAACACTCTGTCCAAGCTGACCTCACAGTCTGGCTAAAACGTGGTAGCATGCAGCCCAAGACACCTGTGGCTCCACTAACGACTCACACAGAAACCAGCTGCCCACCACATGCCAGGAGTCAGGATCTCAGAGCTGGGAGGCACTGGAGTGAGCCTGGCCACCCCTCTGCTTCAGAACATTGCTAATACGCCAGCTGCAGGGGTTTCAGCATTGGAACACCACGTGGCACACTGCTTTCCTCAAAGGCTGCGTGGGGCTGAGCGCCGTTCCAGACGCTGCTCCACCTGGCGAGGGACTGCACTCCAAGGCATTACTGTTGCCACTGCTGGCCGTGCCAGCGGCTCCCACACATCGGCAGAAGATGGAGATGGAGTTCATGAAATAGAAGGATGGGAAGTCCACGACTGGCGATAACTTCAGTCAAAGAACCGGACCGCGCCACTGGCAGGCGCCAAGTCAATGTGGAAAGCAGTACCCGGTCAACCCCGGCCACAAGCACACGCCACAAACCTCTCAGCCCCACAGTTCACATCCTGCTACCCACACCATCCACACCTGGGTCACGACGTCCCCTCCGATTCCAGGGAACCCTCTTTCTACCTCATCACAATCGCTCATAGCTGCAGCCTTCTGGGGCCACTTCCACCAGCAAGCGTCAGGTCTTCTTCCAGGTGCCGTATTTAATAGATGTTTTTAGTGGGATGAGGTTCTCGAGTGCTGTGACCTGACCCTGTTTTCTCCTAAGCCCTCTGGTTTTTATTGGCAATCTTCCACAGGGTAGAGACTTTTAGGAACGCGTACCTCCTGTTACAGCGGAACTATGATGGCAACCAAGGCCTGACCCATCGCTGCCCCGACCTCACCTCCCGCTGGCCACCGTGGTCTCCTCGCTTCTCCCCAAGGCACAGGTGTGCCCACCCCTCAGGCCTGTGTGCATGTGGCCCCTCCTCCAGAAGCTCCCATCTCCTTGTGGCCCCTCTCTCATCTCTGTCCGGTTTTCACTCACAGTGAGGCCTCCTCTATCAGAACTGTATTTTTCTCCTTAGAACTTAACCCTCTCGGACAGACTGTATGTTGACCTGTGCAGCCAGTGCAGAGTCTACTTGACCCGCCGAAACACAAGTTCAGGAGGGCAGAGCTGCTGTCGTCCTACTCACTGCTGAACTGCAGCTCCCTGACAGTGCCCAGGGCATGGCACCCCCTATGGATGTCGTTCATTCGTCAGATGAACGACCCGCCGGCTGCGTCATTCTGCCGCGTGTTTTAACAGTGGTGGGGACGACCCGCCGGCTGCGTCGTTCTGCCGCGTGTTTTAACAGTGATGAGGGTACTGGGTGGATCCTAGGAAGGCTGAAGGATCTCTACATCTGATCACAGATCAGAATCTAATGTGAGTCAAATCCTGGATTTGCAGGGTGAGACAACCCACACATTCCATCTCATGCTTCTCTTGGAGTCTCATGTTCCTTCTGCTATCTCAATATTCATTTTACCAAAACACAAAAATAAGCAAACAAGACCTTCTGCTCCTTGAACATGTGGGAAGTGCAGTACACACACACACTTCACGTGTTCCCGACGGAGGCCTGGTGCTGTGGTACGCACGCACACTTCACATGTTCCCCGACGGCAGCCCGGCTCTACGGTACGCACACACACTTCACGTGTTCCCGATGGAGGCCATGCGCTGCAGCACACATACACACTTCACGTGTTCCTGAGGGAGGCCGCGCTGCAGTACACACACACACACACACACACTTCACGTGTTCCCCGACAGAGGCTGCGCACTGTGGTATGCACACACACTTCACGTGTTCTCCAACAAAGGCCGCATGCTGTGGTACACACATGCACATCATGTGTTCTCCGACGGAGGCAGCAGCACTGTAGTACACACACACACTTCATGTGTTCTCCAACGGAGGCCATGGCGCCATTGCCGCTCTCATGCACCTGCTGTCACTGCTCAGCGTCAGCTCTCTGGGGGCCGCATACACTCGGTTCCCTTCTTGGTGTGTGCTGGGTGTGGGAGTGTGGATGCCAATGTGTTGAATTACACAGGTACAGAGATTTATTTTTCTAACAGGAAAAGAAAACTCTCTCAAAGAATGTGAAGACTTGTTAAATTAACAATGCCATTTTTGTTAAACTGAAATCTCTGCATAGCAGGCAGGATGGAAGAAATGCCTAGAACAGTGGTACCAACTGCTCTGGCCTCACACATGCCCTGAAGCACGTTTGCCCTGCAGCACCCCTGCACCTGCTGCCAAGCGGACGGCCACACACACCGCCCCTGCTGGTTCTCCACAAAAACCAGGACCATGGCTGCCCTCTGGTACCTGACAGCCACTTTTTCAGAGACAAAGAGGTTACTAGCTCAAGAAATTTATATTTGGTCTTGCAAATGCAGTTTGTCTGAAGTGATTAAACAGTTACATGCAACTGCACTTTTTTTTCTGTTTGAGATCCTGGGTTTTGCTTCCCGTTTTATGTTCCATAACCACGGATCAACCTAAAAATCTAATTCTATCTACACTAAATGTTAAGCATCTTACTCGTATCTATGTCTAAACTATTAACACAATTTTGACCTGAACACTCTCTCATGCTCGTCCAACTATTTCTTCTACTCTATCTCATGAAAAGAAACTGAGTAACTGGAAGAGAAAAGAAAATAGGATTTCAAACACATAGAAAATCTCAGTTCCCATTCATTTAAACAATCTCACTTGTTTACATTACTGTGGCTCCCTCTTCTATTCATCTTATTAAAATCCTTAATCACAAATTTAACATACACACTTAAGGGGGAAAAACTAACCACTCACTTTTGAATTCTGCAGAAACTCAGTCTTTCTCAATTTTATGTACAGTAAACCCCATCACATTAAAATAAAATGTAATACTACAAATTATTATTTCAACATGAATGTTTAGTCACTGGATTTAAAATCGTATTTGAGAACAGCCTCTTACTTTGAAGGAATGGCAGGCTGGTGTTCAGCTGAGATGAGCTGTCACTAAAATACAGGGCCCTGTCTTGAGCCCTAAGATTCCAGCTGGGTTCAGCTGCCAAGCGATCCTCTTCCAGCAAAACAGCCATCACCTGTCAGACATAAGTGAGTAGTCTTTAACAAAAACTTTACAAAGGACTATCTTTTCCCAAAAAAAAAAATTACCTTTTCATCTTATCCAGATCTGCAAATAACTGCCTAGATCCACGACACTATCATAACTACAAGAAAAACGATATGGTCCTTTATGCACAATACTGAAAACTAATACAATAAGATTAACTAAAACAAACTCCACAAGAGAACCATCATTTGCCCTGAATGTTGTTTTTCATGCCACATACACTGCTAAAAATCACAGTGGGAGGAAGGGCTGGATATCCAGCATTTATAAATGAACAAAGCAGTGTAAAGAACAGTCATGAACCCACTGAGTCTCTCTCACCGGGTTTCGGTAAAAAGCCAGAGTGAGTGGTAAAACACTGTCATCGTTCCAGGAGCATCCTTAGGATTTGACGGTGCAGAGAGAGATTGGGAGACACAACAGGACTGATGGAAAAAGAACTAGAAATGTTCCTGAGAACTAACAGAAGGAAAGTGAGGAAAGCAGAGGGTGTTCAGTGAGAAGCGACAGGATTTGTGTGAGGAAGAGGGGGCTGCGTAGTAAAAACTGAGGTCAGCAAGTGTTCAGTGGGAACTGACGTGACCTGAACACTCAGGGTCAGGACAGCCGGGAATATTGAGTGAGAACTGACAGAATATGGGAGAGTGGGAGATAGGAAATGCTGAGTGAGAGCTGACTGTGTGAGAGTGACGAAGGCAGAAACAGACAGTGAAAGCCGAACGTACGGGAGTGAGGAAGGCAGATAATGTTTCATGTGAACGGACAGAACAGGAGGGCGGGAGGCAGGAAACATTGAGTGAGAATTGATAGGATTCGTGCCAGAAAGGGAACCTGTAGTGAGGACTGACAAGATGGGTGGGAAGAAGGAAGAAAATGTTAATGAGAACTGATGGGAAGAGAGTATGGAAGGCAGGAGATTTGAAGTGAGAAATGACAGGATGGGAACGGGCAAGAAAAGGAGTGTTTAGTGAGAGATGGAGGGTGGAGTGTGGAGGGCAGGGAGTGTTTAGTGAGAGGCAGAGGGTGGAGTGTGTAAGGCAGGGAGCGTTTAATGAGACTCGATAGGATCTGTGTGAGGAGACAGGAAGTGTCTTGTGAGAAACACCGGACGGGAATGAAGAAAGCAGGGAGTGTTTACTGAGGACCTGCAGGAGTGTGTCCAGGCCACAGACCAGACAGGAGAGCTGTGAGTTCAGGGATGGCCCCAGGCTGGTCACCCTCTGTCCTCCCTCCTTCCCTATCCACCTCACCTTGCACCCAAGCGCTCTCTCATCTTAGAGATGAGAACTTACACTAGAACTTAGAACTAGAACACTTAGAACTTACACTAAAACAAAATGTGATACAAATCATAAATCGTGTAAAATCATAATCATATTTCGTAAACCATAGATTCCTACATAATTGCAACAGAGTGACTACATGACCACCACGTGCTCAGATTAGTGTCTGAGAATCATCCATAATGTCAATCAGCACGTCGATGCTTCACAAACATCCTTAATCTCAACAGTGTGTTGAGGTTTCACAATCATCCTTAATGTCAACCGGCATGTCCAGGTTTCACAATCATCCTTAATGTCAACCAGCGTGTTGAGGTTTCACAATCATCCTTAATCTCAACCAGCATGTTGAGGTTTTCACGATCATCCTTAATGTCAAGTGTGTCAAGGTTTCACGATCATCCTTAATCTCAACCAGCATGTCGAGATTTCACAATCATCCTTCATCTCAACCAGCGTGTCAAGGTTCCACGATCATCCTTCATCTCAACCAGCGTGTCGAGGTTCCACGATCATCCTTCATCTCAACCAGCGTGTCGAGGTTCCACGATCATCCTTCATCTCAACCAGCGTGTCGAGGTTCCACGATCATCCTTCATCTCAACCAGCGTGTCGAGGTTCACGATCATCCTTCATCTCAACCAGCGTGTCGAGGTTTCACGATCATCCTTCATCTCAACCAGCATGTCGAGGTTTCACGATCATCCTTAATCTCAACCAGCGTGTCGAGGTTCCACGATCATCCTTCATCTCAACCAGTGTGTCGAGGTTCACGATCATCCTTAATCTCAACCAGCGTGTCGAGGTTTCATGATCATCCTTAATCTCAACCAGCGTGTCGAGGTTCACGATCATCCTTAATCTCAACCAGAGTGTCGAGGTTTCATGATCATCCTTCATCTCAACCAGCGTGTCGAGGTTCACGATCATCCTTAATCTCAACCAGCGTGTCGAGGTTTCACGATCATCCTTAATCTCAACCAGCGTGTCGAGGTTCCACGATCATCCTTCATCTCAACCAGCGTGTCGAGGTTCCACGATCATCCTTCATCTCAACCAGCGTGTCGAGGTTCCACGATCATCCTTCATCTCAACCAGCGTGTCGAGGTTCACGATCATCCTTCATCTCAACCAGCGTGTCGAGGTTCCATGATCATCCTTCATCTCAACCAGCGTGTTGAGGTTTCATGATCATCCTTAATCTCAATCAGTGTGTTGAGGTTTCACAATCCTTAATGTCAACCAGCGTGTCGAGGTTTCAAATCATCCTTAATCTCAACCAGCGTGTCGAGGTTCCGCAATGTTTCACTTCGGCGCTGCAGCAGACTCAAGTGCTTCCACACAAGAAAGTGATGAGACAGCTGGGGAAATGTGAATGCCGACTGCACAGCTGACTGCATTTTAAGTTATTACTAATTACTCTTTTAGACACTCTCTGCTTTTTGAGATTCATAATGAACTCTATCTGGAGGCAAAGTGAGATGATTGGGATTTGTTTCAAAATAACCGATGGGGTGGGTGGTGGAGTGGGCAGGGGGGTCAGACGAGACCCACGGCCATGAGGTGATAACCACTAAAGTACCTGCAGCCTCACAGGCCTCTTTCATGTCTCTTTGTATGGATTTAAAGTTTTTTCCGTTTATAAATCAGCTTACAAAATCAGAAGTTTATGATTTTCAAATACCCTCGATTTATGCTTGCCTTGCCAACTTCACGTCTGCTCGTTAGTCTCTAGTTGTTTTAAAATGTAAGAAATTAATAGGCCGGGCGCGGTGGCTCAAGCCTGTAATCCCAGCACTTTGGGAGGCCGAGACGGGCGGATCACAAGGTCGGGAGATCGAAATCACCCCGGCTAACATGGTGAAACCCCGTCTCTACTAAAAAATACGAAAAACTAGGCAGGCGAGGTGGCGGCGCCTGTAGTCCCAGCTACTCGGGAGGCTGAGGCAGGAGAATGGTGTAAACCCGGGAGGCGGAGCTTGCAGTGAGCCGAGATCGCGCCACTGCACTCCAGGCTGGGTGACAGAGCGAGACTCCGTCTCAAAAAAAAAAAAAAAAAAAAAGAAATTAATAATAAAATTCACAATCCAAATACATACATAGTACTTTAGTGATATACATTTACCCAGTGTCATCCTGCCCACAAGGGCTTTATGAATGTACCACTGATAATTTTTAAGAAAATAATACCTGAAAATGAATAACTGATTCTGATTTATCCAAGCTACAAAGACTTTTAAGATCTTAAAAGCTCCTACGTTTCTATATAGAATGAAACTTAACGCACTTACACAGAGAACACAACATATTATAGGTTGAGCATACCTGACAAGCCGCCCGCAGAAAGCTACATAACCTTGGAGTATCAATCTTTGGCATAACTACAGCATCAGAGGTATCTCTTTGTTCACTGCCTAAAAAAAACAGGTTATAAAAAATCAACGAAGCTGACTCTAAAACAGTCATGCATTACACATCTTAGAGTTCAAACAGGCGTAACAAATCAACATTAAGAGTCCTAGAAGGAAAAGGTAGAAAACTTCACGCTATACTCTCTAGATTTACTACTATTAACTCCCCAAAACAATTGCATATTGTTTTATAGAAGTCTGTAATGTATTTAGAAAAACATTCAGGCCAGGCATGGTGGCTCACGCCTATAATCCCAGCACTTTGGGTGGCCGAGGCAGGTGGATCATCTGAGCTCAGGAGTTCAAGACCAGCCTGGCCAACATGGTGAAACCCCATCTCTACTAAAAAATACAAAAATTAGCCAGGTGTGATAGCAGGTGCCTGTGGTCCCAGCTACTTGGGAGGCTGAGGCAGGAGAATCAGTTGAACCCAAGAGGCGGAGGTTGCAGGGAGCTCAGATCGTGCCACTGCACTCCAGCCTGGGTGACAGAGCAAGACTTCATCTCAAACAAAACAAAACAAAACAAAAAAACATTCAAAGGAATCAACTGAATTATCATGTAAGTTTAGGTATATTACTTTCTTAAGGTGAGGCTTACCTGAGAAAAGCGGATAATATACATCCCTGACATACAGAGGCAATTCCTTGAGAAAAGCCAGTAAAGCATTCAACATGTACATCGCTCCAGAGTACTTAGCAGAAACTATACATTCTAGGGACCTTCAATCTAAATTGATGGAACATTTTTGCAAACGGCACTTAAAATATAAAAATTCTACATTCATGAGAATAGGCTTCCCCCAAGTTAAAACCACAGTATGCTCCAAAGATCCAGGGACACACTGGTTGTTTGGAATGTGGAATCTCTCCCTCTACATAGGAATAAAATCTGTCATAAATCCTGGCAATGGCGCAGACTGGGCCTCAAGAGCAGGTTTCCTTCCCCTTGTGGCTCAGCAGCTCTGTGGCTGGTAGTTAGTGTTTCTTTAAAAGAAAAATGGGTACTGATATTGTCACATGCTAACAACCATACAGAAGAGAAAGACAAAATGAGAGTGAACCAGAAAGGGAATAAGTAAAAATAAAACAAAAAAGAATGTAAAGAGAGTCAATGGTCAACACTCAAGAGCAAGATGTTACCTCCAGATACAATGGTACTTTCTCCTGGGTGCTGGGTCCACACTTCCCTGGTCTCTATTTCCTCCGTTTGAATGTCTCTTTCAACATTATCTTCGTTACACTGAACATATGCCTTAAAAACAAAAATACGCCAAAATTAACATTGGTTTCAATTTCAGAGCAATTTGTCATTACTAAGTTCATAATGAGAGTCGTGTATCAAAAGTAAATATCAAAGCATAAAGAACAATCATGCAAAGACAACTGTGCTTAAACATTCGATATAGATATATACAGGTCTAATTTTCAAAAGTGTGTTCAAAAAGTCTCACCAAACGATTCCCCTTTAGTCTGAAAATACTGCCACCTCACCTGCCCACATCCTATTTTCTTAGAACATGCTGGTTTTTCAAAACCACATATCTATTTCAAAAGGTACATGCTTCAGTGAAGTCAGTTTTGTTACTAACAGCTTTGGGATGAGGAAAATCACCAAAGATAAATAATCTACTTAAGGTCAGAGTGAATCAGCTGCAAAACTAGGATTAATATTGTCAGTGTCCCAGGAGTTCAAGGCTGCAGTGAGCTATGATCTTGCTACTGCACTCCATCCAGCCTGGGTGGTAGAGCAAGACCCTGTTTCTTAAAAAAAATTTTTAAATTTAAAAATTTAAAAGCCATCAGCTTCTTCAGCTTCATCCTGTGACCTTCCTCCTTTCAAAAGGATTTTATTGAGTGCACCAACTAGACAATGTTAAGATTGGTGGTACCAGTATCAGGAATGTAAGAAAAATGTAAGATAGGACATCTGACTTCAAAAGCTTTAGAACCTCGTTGTGAAGTGAGACCATTACATAATGAATTAATGATTGGAAATACTACAGGAAAGTACAAAATTGCATGAAATAGTAAATTGTAGGAACTCTGGAACAGGAGAAAGAATTCAATATAAGTCACTAGGAAGGGTTCACCCAGAAAACGGGCCTTGGAAACTGAGGAACAGACAGGCAGATAAGGCAGACAGGGAACAGGAACGCCATACACCAGGGCACCTTGAGAGAGCCATGAGAGAAGAGAGTCCCAGAATCAAACAGGTATAATCTGAATTAGAGAGAGTCCAAAGCTAGGCATGGTGGCACAGGCCTGCAGTCCCAGCTATGGGGGAAGCTGAGCCTGCAGTGTCCTGTGATCACGCCTGTGAACATCCACTATACTCCAGCTTAGGGGTGTCTCTAATAAATAGATTAGTACCTTGTCTCTAATAAATAAATTTAATTTAAAAAAATTTTAAGTGAGTCCACATTATAAAAACCTTCAGAAGTATCGTATACATTGAAATTCTTCAATTATAAGAATTTTAAACAGACAAGTAGGACTGCTTTACACTCACCTGGAACACAAGAAACAAATCCAAACCTGACACTTAGCTAGACTTTAAATAAAACATTTGCCTTCGCCACTATGCACAGATCCATGTAACAAAACTGCACTTGTACTACCTCAATTTATACAAATAAAAAAAATTAAAAATATAAATAAATAAATAGATTGGGCACAGAGGCTCACACCTGTAATTCCAGAACTTTGGGAGGCCAAGGCAGGCGGATCACTTGAGGCCAGGGTTCAAGACCAGCCCGGCCAACATGGTGAAACTCCGTCTCTACTAAAAATATAAAAATTACCTGGGCATGATGGTTCACACTTGTAATCCCAATCACTTGGGAGGCTGAGGCACGAGAATCACTTGAACCCGGGAGGTAGAGTTTGCAGTGAGTCAAGATCACTCCACTGCACTCCAGCCTGGGCGACAGAGTCAGACTGTCTCTAAATAAATAAATAAAACATTTGCACAGCATAAAGCTTCACTCTAAGGTCAGGACAGCAGCCATTCTCTCCCTATTCCGAGCAGATCACCCACTGGAGCTCCTTCAGGCACTCCTGAAGGCTCTGGAGTACTTCCGGCTTTGCCTGTGCCTGGCCTCTTGGGTGAATGGGCCCCATGTGAAGATGGGTCCCCATTTTCCTTAAGCTTGTATCCTTCACAGACCATCCCCAAGTTCTAATATTGCAGAACAATATTCAGGAAGACACAAAGTTATCCTATTAGACTTTACTTGCATTTTATCACTTAGTTAATATATCTCATATTTACCTGCTTGGTATTTTTTTTCCCAAAGTTTCTGATATACATGTCATATTCATTTACTGGTGGTAGATCCAAGAGCCAGAAAGTAAATGAAAAATCTAAGTCAATGAGCCGAAGCAGTTTTGTACTTCGCATCCTTTGAAATAATTGGAAACAAGACAAAAATTAACTTGAGTAATATACGTGGGAAAGTATAGGGAAAACAGAAGTAAACTTAGAGAGTTAAATGCATGTCATTGTCAGAAATCTAGCTTCAGTGTGAGGTGAGTCTGAGATATTTAACAGTTAAAAATAACTGAGTAGTAGAAAGTCGTGGGAACCCGACGTGTGACCCTGGCATCTGGTGATCCTGCTCCCCGACTGCTTCGTGTGTGTGTGTCAAGAACCTGATGTGTGACCATTCTAATGCGTACGCCTGAGCTAACACAAAGTCAAGTCACACAACATGTATGCCTGGGATGTTCATAAGCACCAATTCATTTGACTTCAGGAGTTGACATTCTGACTGTCCCATCACCTGCGCCATGGTCAGACCATGTGGCCAGTAAGGGTTTTGGGCCACGCTCTTCTCCAGGCCACAGCCAACCTTTGTGCTTCCCGCAGGACTTGACCTGCAGGCAGCACCTAACACAGTCAATGGCGCTCCAATCGCCCTCCCTCCACAGGCCTGTCACAGCCAATCCCGCTCCGCCACAGGCCTGACACAGCCAATCACGCTCCGCCCACAGGCCTGACACTGCCAAAGGCCCTCGCCCACAGGCCTGACACTGCCAATTACGCACACAGCCAATGGCCCTTGCCCACAGGCCTGACACAGCCAATCGTCCTCCGCCCACAGGCCTGACACAGCCAATCGCCCTCCGCCCCCAGGCCTGACACAGTCAATCGTACTCGGCCCACAGGCCTGACAGTCAATCAACGTCAGCCCACAGGCCTGACACAGACAATCGCCCTCCGCCCGCAGGCCTGACACAGGCAATCGCCCTCTGCCCGCAGGCCTGACACAGTCAATCGCCCTCCACCCGCAGGCCTGACACAGCCAATCGCCCTCCGCCCGCAGGCCTGACACAGACAATCGTACTCGGCCCACAGGCCTGACAGTCAATCAACGTCAGCCCACAGGCCTGACACAGACAATCGCCCTCCGCCTGCAGGCCTGACACAGCCAATCACCCTTGGCCCACAGGCCTGACAGTCAATTGCTGTCAGCCCACAGGCCTGACACAGCCAGTCGCCCTCGGTCTACAGGCCTAACACAGCCAATTGAGCTCCCACAGGTCTGACACAGCCAATCGCCCTTGGCCCACAGGCCTGACACAGCCAATGGCCCTCCGCCCACAGGCCTGACACAACCAATCGCCCTCCGCCCACAGGTGTGACACAGCCAATGGCCCTCCGCCCACAGGCCTGACAGCCAATGGCCCTCCGTCCACAGGCCTGACACAGCCAATCACGCTCGGCCCACAGGCCTGACACAGCCAATCACACTCGGCCCACAGGCCTGGCACAGCCAATCTCGCTCGGCCCACAGGCCTGGCACAGCCAATCAACCTCTGCCCACAGGCCTGACACAGCCAATGGCCCTCCGCCCACAGGCCTGACACAGCCAATCACGCTCGGCCCACAGGCCTGACACAGCGAATCAACCTCCGCCCACAGGCCTGACACAGCCAATGGCCCTCCACCCGCAGGCGGAACACAGCCAATTGCACTTGGCCCACAGGCCTGACATAGCCAATGGCCCTCGACCTACGGGCCTGACACAGCCAATTGCCTTCAGCCCATAGGCCTGACACAGCCAATCGCCCTCTGCCCACAGGCCTGACACAGCCCATCGTCCTCCAGTCGCCTTTGGCCCACAGGCCTGACACAGTCAATGGCCCTCCGCCCACAGGCCTGACACAGCCAATCGCCCTCCACCCACAGGCCCCGAAATGCTGCACCCACGTGGCTTCCTCTTGCTTCACAAACGGTTACTTTTCAATCGCCTGTGCTGGTTTCTCCTTTCCTTTCTAAAGTTTCACCCTAACATTAGTGTGCCCGGGGTCAAATCTTTAAGATATTTATTGTTTATTACTCCTCACTAAGATATAAACTCGCAAGGGCAGAGATTTTTGTTTCTTTACTGTGATCTCCACACAGCCGGTGCTCAATGAATGCACAGTGAATGAGCGAGTGAACGACCCGCCCAACATCGAGGTGCCTCGGCCACCGGGTCTGCTCTTTGCTCCTCCTCCTCCCCCCTTCCTTCTCCTCACACTCCACCAGGTCTGCCCTGCTTCCTAGAGCACAGGCCTGCAGGAGGCTCGACCAAAGCCTGGGATGTTTTATCAGAAATTCTCCCACTGGAAGGTCCTCAACTTCCATTTTCGTCCCCTCGACCCTCTGCGAACGTCACATGCTCCAGGCCTTCTCTTTCTGCTTCACTCTATTGTCTTGAGAAATCAAGATGCAAACCTGAGTGGAAACAGCGATCGCCTGCGTGTGTCCCTTCTCTCCAGGACCTCGGCTCCTGGTATATTTAATCAGCTGGGGTGTTTTTGTTGTTTTAAATCCAACTTTTATAGTTGTTTTAGCTGAAGGATTTCTCTGATACAAGTTATTCCATCAAGAAAGTAGGACTCCTTCCATATTCTTTTTAAAGATGCTTTTCTCATATCACTGGAGCATTTTTCATGACATTATATCCTCAAGAGTATCCATCATTTTGATAGCTATATTTCATACCTGATAGAAAGCTGCCTATGCAGAGGTTGTACCAATTTGTTTCAAGCAAGCTTTTTCTCTACATTCTCATCAGTACTGAAGTATTATCTTTTTTTTTTTTTTTTTTTTTGAGAGGGAGTCTTGCTCTGTCGCCCAGGCTGTAGTGCAGTGGCACAATCTCAGCTTGCTGCAACCTCTACCTCCCAGGTTCAAGCAATTCTCCTGCCTGAGCCTCCCGAGTGGCTGGGATTACAGGCATGTGCCACCATACACGTCTAATTTTTGTATTTTTGGTAGAGACGGGGTGTCACCATGTTGGCTAGGCTGATCTCGAACTCCTTACCTCAGGTGATCTGCCCACCTCCACCTTCCAAAAGTGCTAGGATTACAGGCGTGAGCCACTATGCCTGGCCTAAGTATTATCATTTTTTTAATACCTTGCCTATTCCATAAAAGAAAAATTCATCCCATTGTTTCAATGTACTTTCTCTGACAGGATATATTTTCACACATTTACTGACAGCCTAATTTTTCTCTGATGTGAATTCTCTCTGTGCCCTTTACCATCCTGGGACCATGTGGTGAGAGACTGGGGAAATAATGTAAGAGAAAATAAGCAAACACATTACTTTTCTCCCTACCTCTCTACCTTGAGCCACTGACAGGTTTTTCCTGTGGCCCCAGCAGGCCAGCCATGGCTCCGGCTCCCGACTGCCCAGCCTCTCCGGCTCAGGGGAAGTGGTGGCTCCTGCTACGCGGAATCTCTGAGCTGCTCCTGGGCCCTGCTGAAGCTCAGCTCTTCCAACACCTACGGAATTCACTCCCTGTGTCACATCCTTCTGTTTAATGCCCAAATTAGTTTTTGTTTTCATAACTGGATCTCGAGTCTTATATGATCTATGCCCATTTTTAACTAGGGCTATTTAACTTTGCTTATTAAATTATAAAAACATTTTATGCATTAGGGATAATAAGTCTCTATCATATATTTTACAAATATATTTTCCCAATTGGTTAATTACCTTTACATTTTGTCAAATTTATGGACAATTGTACCTTACAGAAATTTAATTTTTGAGGTACATTCCAGTAATTTTTATTTTTTCATTTTTATTCTTTTTATTCTTAGAAAGTCCTTTCTTATCACTGAAATAAGCACTTACACTATCTATGCTCTTTTTTTTTCATTTTTTTAAAAATCCATTTGGAATATATCTTGGGTATAGTGTGAAGCAGGTATCTGTTTTCCCTCAAATTTCAAGTTGATTTACTAAATGTAGATCTAGTAGTAAAAGTTCCTCTATACTATTTTTCTTCTCTGTATTTCCTTACAACACACAAATGTCAGAACTCATCCACACTCTTATAAAGCGTGGACTCCTACGTTTTTCTCAAAAACTTTTTTACTTTTATTTATCATCAATCCCTTTATGTTTCAGCCTTTCATTTCTTAAATTTTTCTTTTGAAATATTTAATATAATTTATGATTCAATATAATCTACTTGCACACTATATATCAATCTAGTTAACAGGTCCTAGGACCTACCTAACTAGAAAACTACTAATTACTAGATTACCAGCCAGGCACGGTGGCTCACACCTGTAATCCCAGTACTTTGGGAGGCTGAGGTGGGTGGACTGCTTGAGCCCAGGAGTTCAAGAACAGCCTGGGCAACATGGCAAGACTCCATCTCTACATAAAAAAAATATAAAAATTAGCTGGGTGTAGTGGTGCACACCTGTAATCCCAGCTACTCGAGAGGCTGAGGTGGAGGGTCACCTGAGCCCAGAAGGTCAAGGCTGCAGTGAACCAAGATCATGGCATGGCATTCCAGCCTGGGTGCCAGAGCGAGATCCTGTCTCAAAAGCAGAAGACGTAAAATAAAGAAAAGGGAAGGGAAAGGGAAAGGGAAAGGGAAAAGGAAAGGGAAAGGGAAAGGGAAAGGGAAAAGGAAAGGGAAAGGGAAAGGAAGGGAAGGCAACCAATGACCTGCATCTACTTAGTGGCTCCTCCCTGACACATTCCCAGATGCCCCACTGCCCACAACAATCACTAGACTGAATTTTGTGGTTATCATTTTCTTGTTTTTCAAAATATAATTTCATCTCATATTTATATGAGTCTAAACAACATGCTGTCTAGCTTTATTTCTAGGTTTATAAAAATTGCATTAAACCATATGTACTTTTCTGAGAACTTGAATCAGGTTTAAAAAAAAAAAAAAAGCCATAGGGCCAGAAACTAGTTTTGCTACCTCCACAAGAGACCTAAAATATAAGGGTAGCAAAACTGTTGTGAAAACTGTTACCTTTATTACTATTATTATTTTTTTTTCTATTTTGAGACAGGGTCTCGCTCTGCCACCCAGGCTGGAGGGCAATGGTGCAGTCACGGCTCAGTGCAGCCTCGACCTGTCAGACTCAAGCCATCTCCCACCTCAGCACCCCCCAGGAGCTGGGACCATAGGTGCGTCTCACTATGTTGCTCAGACCCAGTCTTGAACTCCTGTGCTCAAAGTGCTGGGATTACAGGCATATACCACCATGCCCAGCCACTTTTATTATTAATGATTGATTTTTTCATTTAGTAAATATTTATTGAGTACTTATTAAGGCCATGAACTAAGCCAGGTGTTAAGAGATTTTAAACTCACTTTTAAAACTCTTTATTTTTTAGCCAGGCACGGTGGCTCATGCCTGTAATCCCAGCACTTTGGGAGGCCGAGGCAGGTGGATCACCTGAGATCGGGAGTTCGAGACCAGCCTGACCAACATGGAGAAACCCTGTCTCTACTAAAAACACAAAATTAGCCAGGCGTGGTGGCAGGCGCCTGTAATCCCAGCTACTCAGGAGGCTGAGGCAGGATAATCACTTGAACCTGGGAGGCAGAGGTTGCAGTGTGCTGAGATTGCACCATTGCACTTCAGCCTGGGCAACAAGAGTGAAACTCTGTCTCAAAAAAAAAAAAAAATCTTTATTTTTTTCATTTACTCTTCAGTCATATGTGGGCTTAGTACGATAGACCCTTGACTTGAAAATATATCTTTTATAGATTTCTAAATTTTACAAATTTCTCAATTTACTCCCAGGGTAGCTCCAACTGTCCACCACAAATGTAAGGACAAACATCCAACATCAGCACATGGTACGTCGCAGCTCACACACCTGCTCTACTAACATAAGATATCAACACAAAGAAAAGTGTAGTACAAATTAAGTCATATACCCCAAAAGACAGTAGTAAAAATGCAACTTAAAACTCGATTTTTTAAAAGTATGTGAAAAAAAAGTATGCTAAAGCCCTGAACACCTTTGGCTGCTTTCCCAATACACCTACTTTTGCTTAAGGGCCTGAGTCCGACTCTTTTGACGGTGTGAAGCTGAGGCAAAATCCACAAAAATTCCACAAACGGAGGCTCTGGAAGGGGAACTGTTTGTATCTGTATGAGGGAGAAAAACACTATTTTTGCAACACTGCAATATGTCTTCCAAGCAAAAAAATATCCGGAGTAAAACAATTATAGGCGTATATAACAATTATAGTCAATAAACCCTTCAACTAACGACAAACATCTTCCATAAGCATTTAAGATATCTCTCTTGCTTATTTCATCTAAAACTTTCAGGCAACAAAGCAAAATTTACTGATAATCTATTGTATGTATCACTCACACTATTAAAGAGTTTTAGAAATACTTAAGAATGCACAAAAGATGCAGATCTAGGCCCATTCTGCAAAAAAAACAAAGATTATCTTTTAGTAAGGGAAGTGGAACAAGGGCATACAAAATTGCTAAAAAACAGAAACAAGTGCAAATTAATATTAAATCAATTACTTAATATGTCAAAGGGCACAAAACAAAAGAGAATGCAGGCATGAGCTTCCTCAGAAGAATTTCTAAAATTTCTGAAGATGTGACTAGATTATCAAATTGTCAGGCTGATGGAAAAGGTTCATATTATATAAGAATGAACAACTTGGCCAGGTGTGATGGCTCATGCCTGTAATCCCAGCCCTTTGGGAGGCTGAGGCAGGCATATCACTTGAGGGCTGGAGTTCCAGACCAGCCTGGCCAATGTGGCAAAACCCCATCTCTACTAAAAATACAAAAATTAGCCAGGTGTGGTGGCGGGTGCCTGTAGTCCCAGCTGCTCGGGAGGCTGAAGCAGAAGAATCGCTTGAATCCAGGAAATGGAGGTTGCGGTGAGCAGAGATCACGCCACTGTACTCCAGCATGGGAGACAGAGTGAGACTCTGTCTCAGGGAAAAAAAAAAAAAAAAAAAAGAAAGAAAGACAAGAACAAGCAACTCCATCCATAATCCTTAGTAATGGACACAAACCATTCCTCAATCCACCTCTTTCCCCCTAAGGATTTCTATGGCTTCCTGTACATACTTATCTGCATATTTGTTTGTATATTTATTTCTACTGTATCTTACTGTCTTTTCATTCCTTTTGGATATCGGTTTGCACTTGTCCCACTGTCTTACAGTTTTATGAAACTCTCATAGCCCTTTCCAACACATTATCTCATCTGATCTTCACAACAAAGCTTGCAGGCCAGTGATGCAGAGGGTGTGGCTCTGGAGGATGTCTGTCTGGGTCAGGGGCCTGAGCTCAAGTCCCAGCACTGCCTGCTACTTGCTTCATGACCATGGGTTACTTCACCTCTGCATCTCAGGTCCCTTATTGTCGGACATCTGCCGTACAGGATGTGATAAGGACCACAGCAGGCCACGTTTATGAACAATTACAAAGCACCACACAGACATTTTAAGATGTGGCTGTTTTTAAGAATGAGAAAACATTTAAAGTTACAGAATTAAGACTTGAATAAAGACATCCTTGGAACAGAGCCCACACCTCTGTGCAAGGCGTCAGCGCTCAGCAAAGACTCCTTCACTGACCAAGTGGACCATTTACCTTTTGGAAGTGTACATAGGCTTTCCAACACCATGGTGTAACTTCGGTGCATGGGAAAAAGTTATTTACCAAATGGTTTCCTACTGCCCCAAAAAAGGATAAGGTGTGCAGTTTATAACCAAGCAGTCCAAGCACCACAGGGTGCAGCAGGGTATAGCCAAGGAGGACACAGAAACCAAACGGTACCGGCTGCTTGATGAATTCCACAGAACAGCAGCGGATGGTGCTTAGCACTCAGAACGTGCCTGCCACTCCTTTAAGCAACTTCCATGTTTAGCTTGTTTAATCTTCACAATAACCCTAAAGAAAGTCTGAGGCTCATTTCACAGTTAAGGAAAATGAGGCACAGAGAGGTTAAGTAACTGCCCAAGATCACACAGCTAGTCAGTTATCTGAAACCCTGGGGTCAGCATGGCTCCGTGATTCCTGCTTCAGCACAGACCACGCCATCAGTGCCGTGCTAGCCTTTACGACCGTCCACCGGTGCCAGCTCAACATGAAACAGGGCCAAGAAAGCAGCTCCAGCTTTGTCTATGGCAGTGAATAACAGTGAATAACAGTGAACTCCTTCAAATAAGAAATACGCCAAAAATAATCTCTTATATTGAGAGCTGTAAATTCTAATCTTGTAAATGAGGCTAATGAAGAAATAACACTAAGCATAAATGTAGAAAATGAGTAACAAAAAAAGGTTATTCATAGATCTGCTAAGAAAACCAGTAATGTTAAGAATAAAATCCTGCTCACTTCTCAGCAACTCCAGAGCAGACAAGCTTTAATGCTGTCAGGAAATCCTGTGTTGGTGGCACACAGACCCTCCCTATGCGCAGCGCTACTCCACGGGCAACTGAGGGAAACAGTCCCTGAGTCTCAGCCGGGCAACAGGGCTGAAGAAGGGGCAGATCCTTACCTCTACCAGGACAGGTGCCCTTTTGCTCTAAGTTTAAAGAACGCTCTATCAGCACTGCCCAGCTGAGTTCTGCCATCTCTGTAGCAGGCACAAAATGTGAGACAAAGAATCATTCTGCAAAACCTTCATTTGTATTAGTGCATCATATTAATTACTAACTATAATTAACTGCATTACTGAATATTTTACTAATAAAGTAGTATGTCATCAAATAATATTTTAACATTATCCTATTTTACCCTCAGTGCCCATGTTTTATCAGAAAGTCATAGTTGTCCTTTAAAGCGATTTGAAACGTTAATTCCTACTCTTACAAGTAACATTATATCCTGATGCTAAGAATTTGGAGAAAAAATACATTTCTAAATTTAATTTAAAAAGGTCCTTGTAGGAAAAAAGAATGAATCAAGAGCATGCTTCGTGTCAGGCTCAGTTTGACTGTGTCCCAAGACTTGACAGGCACCTCAAACCCTCAGTCACCACGTGCCTCATGAAGGCACTCACTGGCGGACACTGCCACACCTCCAGGGAAAACCATGATGATTCCTCTGTGGAAACTCAATGAGCACATCATCAGGAAAAATAAGAGCATGTGCTCACAGATGGCTAAAACGCTGGTTGCAAAGAAAAAACAAGCCAGGCTGCCCACTGAGGAGGGCCACAGTATCCTCAGCTCCCTCTGGAGAACAGGAGCATCAGTGCTCACTGAGTGGGGCCACAGCGCCCTGAGCTAACCTAAGGCCTGGGCGCTGAGCAGAATAGTGATGTGCAACTTCTCTGTGTAAGAGAATTCTTGATGTGCTCATGCTCAAGTCTTCGGGGGGCCTCCTATGTGGTAGTTGCAAGGGCACAGCACCACCAGCATATGGAAGATGTTATTTCTCTGCCCACCTTATTAGAGCAGGCCTGTGTGTGATGGCATCTGTGAGGGCTCAGTACGCAGAGCCCTAAGAGCATGGACACCATCAGTAGCATTGATTTGTTTACCTGTCCTGGGCTCCTTTTCAAATTCTGTTCTACCTTGCTTCTGAAACAGTTTCAAAGATAACTCGCCAATCCTTTCATTTTCTGCATTAATAGCTCTTTGAATTTCTTGTATTTCCTTTTTTTGAGCTAGAGGAAGTTCTTCCATTTTTTCTCTTGACTCAGGTTCATTACTGCTTTCATCATCATCACCATCACAAACCTCAAAGTCATCTTCGTAGTCCTGCAAACAATAACAATCTTTTGGAACGCTTTAAGACAAATTGACTTTACGTTATCACTCATACTGAACAAAACATGACAGCTTATAACTTAAAACAGTCAATGCCCTTATTACAGCTAAGATATTTATAGTTCCCTGACTTTAATGTTTTTGAAGATACATCTATACAAACTGCTACCTTTATTTCTCTAAAAATAAATCACACAATACAGAACCATACACAGAAGACTATCAATTACCATCACGTGCAAACACTTGTACTGAGAATGTGAAAGTGTATGTATTTTTGTAGATACCTACATACACACTTTTTATGCAGTGCACTTAAATATGAGTTAAATTATAAAATCATTTAATTACATCATATTGGTAAGTATTGGTAGAAGTATAGCAAGCATTTTATAGGTAATAGCTTGACCTAAATCAAACCTAGATAGATACTGAGTATTAGGATTAATAAAAAGAATAAAAAGGGCATCAAATTTACTACATATAAGCTGATGTTTAAGAATAAATGATTTTTAAGCTAAGGAAAGTTTTAACTTTTATACATACTTCAAAATCATCTTCACAACTGGCTGTATATGCATCAGCTCTAGCATATTCTAAATCAGTTTCTTCCTTTTCAATTTCCTAGAGGTAAAAATCAAACATGAAACTAAAAAATTCAATCATAAACTTGAATATTGCAAATAGGCTGGGAAAACATATGTTTTCTGAGATTAATCTGATGTTGCTAATTTGAAACTCTAAGTATTTTTAAAACTAATATAATGTTAAATTCCTTTAAGAAATACCCTTGCTAACTTATAGGTAGGACCAAAAAGATAATACAGTAAACATTCTTTTCAGGAAACCTCTGTAATTCTGGTGGCTGTAGTTCTGTAATTCTGTACTTCTGGTGGCTAAAATTTGTTTAAGTGTTTTACAAATAAACTTCAAACGTGCAGCAATCCATTTCTTCTCCGTGAACATATTCCCCGCTGAATAGTGCTCAGCTGATCTACACCGTTAAAGACAGAGAAATAGGCCAGGCACTGTGGCTCACACCTTTAATCCCAGCACTTTGGGAGGTCAAGGCAGGCAGATTACTTGAACTCAGGAGTTGGACACCAGCGTGGGCAACATGGCGAAACCTCATCTCTACCAAAAATACAAACAATTAGCTGGGCATGGTGGTGTGCACCTATGGTCCCAGCTACTCCAGAGGCGGAGGTGAGAGGACTGCTTGAGCCTGGGGGGCAGAGGTTGCAGTGAGCCAAGATCGCGCCACTGCAGAAGAAATAAAGACTTTCAAACAAAATTGAGGGAATTTGTTGCCAGTAGACCTGTCTTGCAAGCAACATAAAAAGAAGTTCTTCAGAAAGAAGGTGTATTAGTCCGTTTTCACGCTGCTGATAAAGACATACCCGAGACTGGGAAGAAAAAGAGGTTTAATTGGACTTCCAGTTCCACATGGCTGGGGAGGCCCCAGAATCATGGCAGGAGGCAAAAGGCACTTCTTACATGGCGGCAGCAAGAGAAAATGAGGAAGAGGCAAAAGTGGAAACCCCTGATAAACCCATCATATCTCATGAAACTTATTCACTATCACAAGAATAGCACGGGAAAGACCAGGCCCCATGATTCAATTACCTCCCCTGGGTCCCTCCCACAACATGTGGGAATTCTGGGAGATACAATTCAAGCTGAGATTTGGGTGGGGACACAGCCAAACCACATCAGAAAGAAAATAATATAGGTCAGAAACGTGGGTCAACATAAAAAAAAGAAAAGTATGGAAGAAAAAATAAATAAAGGGAAACAACTTTTCCTTTTCTATTTGTTAATTGATCTAAACAGTTTGTTCAGAATAATAGTAACAAAAATGCATTCAATTACATATGCTTAGGTATTTATTCGTGTGTGTGTGTGTGTTTGTGTACGCATATGTACAGTTAGCCCTCCTTATCTGTGGGTTCTACATCCATAGATTCAACCAACCACAAACCAAAAATATTTGGAAAAATAAAAATAAAAAATAATACAAATTTTAAAATACAGTATAACAACTATTTACATAGCATTTACATTGTATTAGGTTTTATAAGCAATCTAGAGATGACTTAAAGTACATGGAAGAACATGCATAGGTTATATGCAAATCCTATGCCATTTTATTTAAGGAACTTGAGCGTTTACAGATTTTAGTATCCACAGGGGGTCCAAGAACCAACCCTGTGCCAATACCAAGGGATAACATGCTTATGTCGGCTTATACACAAGTAAAATGAATGACAGCAAGGATACAAGGAAGGGGAGTGGTACAGTCTTATTTAAAAGTGGACTTGGATTGATTGTAAATGTATTAAAACCACTTTAAAAAGTTAAAAAAAAAAAAAAAAACCTTTAACTGATATGCTAAGATAGTAGAGAAAACAGAATCATAAAATGTTCCATTAAAACCACAATAGGCAAAAAAAGAATGAAAGACAAAAACAGGAACAAATAACAAGGGCAACAAATAAAAAATAGTGACAAATATGGTAGACACTAATCCAATATATCAATAATCACTTTGAACATCAATGATCTACATGTACCAATCACAAGACAGAGATTGTCAGAGAGGATCAAAAAACAAGATCCATCTACTTATTGTCTTCAAGAAACCCAAATGAAGAAAAATATACCATGCTCACGCTAATCAAAAGAAAGCAAAAGTTATTATATTAATTTCTGACACAGCAGACTTCAAAGTAAAGAGAGTCAACATGAATAAAGAAGGGCATTACGCAATGATAAAGATGCCAATTTTATGTCTTTAATGAAATACATAACAGTCCTTAATATGTATGTGCCTAACAACAGAGTGTCAAACTATTTATGTCAAAAACTAATAGAACTGCAAGAAGAAATAGATGAATCCACTATTATAGCTGGAGACTTCAACATCTCCCTATCAGAAATGGACAGATCCAACAGGCAGAAAATGAGTAAGAATATAGCTGAACTCCACGGCACCATCAGTGAACTGGGTGTACGGGGCAGCTTTAGACTGCTTCACCCAACAGCAGCAGAATACACATTCTTATCAAGCTCGCATATAACACTCACCATGATAGCCCACATTCTGGGCCATAAAACACATCTTAACAAATATAAAAGAACAGAAATTATACATCTGCTCTCAGAGCACAATGGAATCGCATTAGAAATCAGTAACAGAAAAATAACTGGAAAATTCCACAATATATGAAGATTAAACAACATATTTCTAAATAACACAGAGGCTCCAAAACACATCTCAGAAATGTAAAAGCATTTTGAACTAAATACAAATGAAAACAAACTTATCGGAATTTGTGGAATGCAAACAAAAGCAGTGTTTAGAGGGCAATTTATAGTGTTGAATGCATATATTAGAAAAGAAGAAAGATCTAAAATCAATCATCTAAGTTTCGAGCTTGGATTAACTAGAAAAACGAGCAAATTAAATCTGAAGTAAGCAGAAAAAAGAAATATTAAAGCAGAAATCAATAAAATTAAAAATAGGAAATCAACAGAGAAAAATCAATGAAATTAAAAGTTGGCTTTTTTGAAAATATTGATAAATCAGTACACTTCCAGGCCAAGCTAACTAAGGGAAAAAGAGAGCAGACCCAAATTATTAGCATCAGAAAAGTAAGAGGGGACATCACTGCAGATCCCATGACGTTAAAAGGATAATCTAGTAATACCACGAACAGCTCTATGCCCATAAATCTGATGACCTAGTAAAATGGGCCAGTTTCATGAAAGACACAGTTGCTAAAACTCACACTAGAAGAAACAGAGAATTTAATAGGCCTATACCTCTTAAAGAAATCGAGTCAATAATAACCTTCTAAAAAAGAAAACACAAGGCCCAGCTAGTGCTAGAAAGTACTAGCACTGGTGAATTCTACCAAACATTTAATAAAGAAATTATACAATTCTTACCTGGGCACAGTGGTTCACACCTGTAATCTCAGCACTTTGGGAGGCCAAGGCAGTCAGATCTGAGATGGGTGAATCACCTGAGGTCAGGAGTTTGAGACTAGCCTGGCCAATATGCTGAAACCCCGTCTCTACTAAAAATACAAAAATTAACTGGGTGTGGTGGCAGGCACCTGTAGTCCCAGCTACTCGGGAGGCTGAGTCAGGAGGATCGCTTGCACCCGGGAGACAGAGGTTGCAGCGAGCCAAGATCACAGCACTGCACTTTAGCCTGGGAGACAGAGCAAGACTCTGTCTCAAAAAAAAAAAAAAAAAGAAATTACACAATACTTTACACTCTCTTTCAGGGGACAGAGGCAGAAAGAATACTTCCTTAATCATTGTATGAGGCCAGTATGATCTAGATAAAGATATTACAAGAAAAAAAAACAAGCTACAGAACAATATCATTCATGAATACAGATGCAAAAATCTGCAACGAAATTGTACCAAATCGAAGCTAACAATATATACAAAGAATTACACAGGGCCAGGCACAGTGGCTCACACCTGTAATCCCAGCACTTTGGGAGGCCAAGGCAGTAAGATCACTTGAGCCCAGGAGTTCAAGACCAGCCTGGGTGAGATCTTAAGACCCTGCCTCTACAAAAAATTTAAAAACTAGCTGGGCATGGCGGCTCATGCCTGTAGTTCCAGCTACTCAGGAGGCTGAGGTGGTAAGATTGCTTGAGCATGAGAGGTTGAGGCTACAATGAGCCGTGATCACCCTACTGCACTTGAGTCTGAGCAACAGAGTAACACCCTGCCTCAAAAAAAAAAGATAAAAAATGAAAAGAATCATACGCCACAATCAGCTGGCATTTATCCCAAGTATGTAAGCCTGCTTTGACATTCAAGGATCAATTAATGTAACCCATCAAATCAACAGGCTAAGAGAGAAAAATCATGAGATCATATCCATAAATGGAGAAAAAACATTTGACAAAATCCAACAACCATTAATGATAAAACTCTTAGTAAACTAGGAATAGAGAGAAATTTCCTCAACTTGATAAAGAACATCTACAAAAAAAAATACAGCTAATATCATACCTAAGTGAGAAACTCAAAGTTTTCCCACTACGATTGAAAACAAAAGAATATATCATCTCATCACTCCTTGTCAGCATCATGCTGGAAGTTCTAACTAATGAAATAAGAAAAGGAAATAAAAAGTATACTGATTGGGAAGGAAGAAATTAAAATTTATTCACAGATAATATGATAGTCTATGCAGAAAATCTGAAAGAACTGAACAACAATAACAAAAAAACCAACTGGAAATAATAAGCAAGGTCACAGAACACAGGGTGAGTACACAAAAGTCAATTTCTTTCCTATATACCAGCAAGGAACAAGTAGAATCTGAAATTAAAAACACATTATTACTTATATTAGCACCCTCAAAACTCAAATAGGTATCAATCTAACCAAACAAGTACAAGATCTCTATGAGGAAAACTATAAAGCTCTGCTAAGCAAAACAAAGAACTAAATAAAGGGAGAGATATTCCATGTTCACAAATAAGGCTCAAATCTGTCAAGACGTCAGTTTTTCCCACCTCGACCTATAGCATGCAATCTCAATCGAAGTTTCAGAATTGTATGAATATTGACAAACCAGCTCTAAAGTTACATGTAGAGGCGGAAGATCCAGAATAATCAACACAACATTGAAGGAGAACAAAGTTGGAGAACTGACATGACCTGATGTCAAGACCCACTACATAGCTATAGCAATCAAGACAGTGTGTACTGGCGAAAAGACTGGACAAATAGATGAATGCAACAGAACAAAAAGCCCAGAAGTAGACCCACATAAATATGTCAACTGATGTTTGAAAAGGGAGCAACAGCAATACAGTACAATGAATGAAAGATAGTCTCTACAAAAAATGGTTCTGGAACAAATAAACAGTCACACGATAACCTAGACAAAGACCTTACACCCTTCAAGAAAACACACTCAAAACAGATCACAGACTTAAGTGTAAAATGCGAAACTATAAACTCTTAGGAAATAGCACAGGACAAATTTAGATGACTTTAGGTATGGAGATGACTTTTTAGATACAACACCAAAAGCATAATCTATGAAAGAAAAAATTGATAAGCTGGACTTCATTAGAATTAAAAACTTCTGTAAGAGACAATGTCAACATGAAGAGAAGACAAGTCACAGACTGACAGAAAATATTTGCAAAAGACAACTGATAAAGGAGTGTTATCCAAAATACATATAGAACTCCTAAAACTCAACAATTAAAAAAATGGGTTGAAGACCTTAACAGACATCCCACTAAACAAGATATACAGATGGCAAACAAATATACGAAAAGATGCTCCACATCATACGTCACCAGGAAAATGTAAATTAAAAGGACGGTGAGATACCACTACCCACCCAACCAGAACACCCACAACACCAAATGCAGGGGAGGATGTGGAGCTACAGGAACTCTCACTCATTGCTGGAGAAAGTAAAATCCTACGGCCACTGTGGAGGACAGCTTGGCAATTTACTAACAAAACTAAACATACTCTTATCATATGATCCAGCAATCACACTCCTTGGTAGTTACCCAATAGAGTTGGAAACATGTTCACACAAAAACCTGCACACAGATGTTTACAGCAGATTTATTCATACTTGCCAAAACCTGGAAGCAACCAAGATGTCCTCCAGTTAGTGAGTGGGTAGCCTGCAGTATATCCCTACAATGGATATTATTCAGCACTAGGAGAAATGAGTTATTAAGCCTTGAAGAGACACAGACGGACCTTAAAATGCATATCGCTAAGTGAAAGAAGTCAATCTGGAAAAGGTCACAAACAGTATGATTCCAATCACAGACAATCTGCAACTTACAATGATTCAACGTATGATTTTTTTTTACTTTACAATGGTGCGAAAGTAAAACGCACTGAGTGGAAACTGTACTTTGAATTTTGTTTTTTTCCTGGACTAGCGACATGCAGTATGATATGCAGAAGGATATGCGGTAGGATATGCACCATGATACATGGTGTGACATGCAGTACGATATGCGGTACAATACGTGTTAGGCTATGCACTATGATATATGGTATGATATACGGTGTGACATGCGGTACAATATGCGGTACGATATGTACTATGATATACGGTATGATATACAGTATGATATATGGTGTGACATGCTGTACAATATGTGGTAGGATATGCACTATGATATATGGTATGATATATGGTGTGACACGCAGTACGATATGCAGTAGTATATGCACTGTGATATACGGTATGATATGTGGTGTGACATGCAGTACAATATGCGGTACGATATGTGGTAGAATATGCACTATGATATACGGTATGCTATACGGTGTGACATGCGGTATAATATGCGGTACAATACGTGGTAGGATATGCACTATGATATATGGTATGATATACAGTGTGACATGTGGTACAATATGTGGTACGATATGTGGTAGGATATGCACTGATATACGGTATGATATATGGTGTGACATGTGGTACAATATGCGGAAGGATATGCACTATGATATATGGTATGATATACGGTGTGACACAGTGGTACAATATGCAGTAGGTTATGCACTGTGATATATGGTACGATATGCAGTGTGACGTGCAATACAATATGCGGTACGATATGCAGTAGGATATGCACTATGATATACGGTATGATATACGGTGTGACATGCAGTACAATATACGGTACAATATGCAGTAGGCTATGCACTGTGATATACAGTACAATATGTGGTGTGACATGCAGTACAATATGCGGTACAATATGCGGTAGGATAGGCACCATGATATACGGTGTGACATACGGTACAATATGCAGCATGATTATGCAGTAGGATATGCACTGTGATATACGGTACGATATGCGGTGTGACATGCAGTACAATATGTGGTATGATATGTGGTACGATACTGTTATGATGCTGGCAGCAGCAGCAGCCACACCTCCCAGGCAGCCACGTGACCAAGAGGCTGAACAACCAACACTCTACAATGTGCTGCAGTCAATACATTATATGAGATATTAAACACCTTATTACAAAATAGGTTTTGTGTCAAATGATTTTGCCAACTGTAAGATAAGTGTTTGGAGCACATTTAAGGTAGGCTGGGCTAAGCTTCGGTAGTTTAGGTATATTAAATGCATTTTCAAATCACGATACTTTCAACTTACTATGGGTTTACTGGGATGTAACTCTGTCATACGTTGAGGAGTGGCTGTATAAGACACTCCGGAAAGGGCAAAGCTATACAGACACAGACAAGATCAGTGATTACCACGAATAAGGGGGAAGGGAGGGATGAACAGTCGGAGCACAGGGGTTTTTAGGGCAGTGCAACCACTCTGCATGATGCCCTGTGGTGGATCCACATCACGGCCCATTTGCCCAAACCCACAGAATGTTTAAGGCCAAGAGCGAACCCTAACATAAATCTTGGACTTCGATGATAATGACACATCGATGTAGGCTTCACTCTGCCAGAGTATGTTGATAATGGGGGAGGTTATTCATGTGTGGGGGCGAGGGAGTATATGGGAAATCTTTGTGTCTTCCTGTCAATATATTTTTTTTTGAGATGGAGTTTTGCTCTCGTTGCCCAGGCCTGAGTACAACGGCTCAATCTCAGCTCACTGCAACCTCCACCTCCTGGGTTCAAGCAATTCTCCTGCCTCAGCCTCCTGAGTAGCTGGGATTACAGGTGCCCGCCACCACGCCCCGCTAATTTTGTATTTTTAGTAGAGATGGGGTTTCGCCATGTTGGCCAGGTTGGTCTCGAACTTCTGACCTCAGGTGATCTGCCCACCTTGGCCTCCCAAAGTACTGGGATTACAGGAGTGAGCCTATGCCTAGCCCCTTCCTCTCAATTTTGATGGAAACATAAAACTGCTCTAAAAAAAAAATAAAGTCTTAGCCAGGAGTAGTGTCTTATGCCTATGGTCCCAACTACTGGAAAGGCTGAGTCAGGAGAATCACTTGAGCCCAAGAGTCTGAGGCTGCATTGAGCTATGATCGTGCCAGCCTGGGCAACAGAGCGAGCCCCTGTCTCAAAATAAATATAAAATAAAAAATAATAAAGTCTTATAAAAAATAAATAAGGTCCTCGTGGCACATTATCATATAAAGTCATTGTACATTATATTAAATAATATATACATTTATTGTATCAATAAATACAACACCGGCTGACTGACAAAAAGAACAAAAACAGGAATTTTAAATGAAAACTAATAGCATCACATTTCTTATTCTTGCTCAACTCAGCAGACCCAGTGGCGCTTAGTCATGTCCTATGTCTGGCCAGGATTTTGAAACTACAATTCATCCACTCTGCAAACACTCACAACACACTTAGTGTGGGCCAGGTACTCAGCCAGGTGAGGAGACAGTGGGGAATGGAGCAGACACCGTCACTTCTGTGCAGAGCTAGAACCACACTGGGGGACACACCCCTGAGAAGGAACAAGAAACCCCCATTACCAGGAGTTCACCCGCCCAAGGAGAGCCCCACGTGCTCTCCATCAAGCTCTGCACTACGTCCTTCAGAGGCCCCGTCCGCAATTCTTCCCTCATATGAGGATACTTACAATTTCTTGATCTCTCCGGTTTTGCATATATATTCTGAAAATTATTTATAACCTTGTATAATTCTCAGCAACCATGGCCTGGATCATGTCTTTTGTGATTTCTCTATTAGGCGTCTTCAAATCTCCTCACTTTCTTCAACTTACACAGAACAACAATGAGAAGGCTGTCTGTTCATTCACCCTAAACCTCTTCTCTCCAATTTCTTTGCAAAATCCTCTCCTCTTCCAGAAAGAAAGAGGCTCAAGTACCTGACGGTGTGCACACAACCCAGTTACATTCCTTGACCCCCACAACCCAGATGGCTTTCAACAAGACCAAGGACTTCAAACAACTCCAAGTGTGAATTTCATATGAAAATCTCATCTGTCCCTGCTATCTGAAAGGGACAATAATTACACTAGTAAAATGCTGACAGGAAAGCAAGGAAATGTGAGTGGAAGTCTGTGCTGGGACAGGATTGCAAAACTATAAGACGAAGTACTCTCCTTACCACAGTTTCCTCGCCTCCTGGCCTCTGGTCCAGCTTCCACCACACGGAAGAACCTTCCTCATGGCCATGCTAATGGAGAGAGAACAGCCCCATCAGCCAGGACACAGGTGAGATTCCAGGAGACACGCACGCCACACAGCTCCCCACAGAGCCCACCGGCCCTCAGCAGCCAGGACACAGGTGAGATTCCACAGGTGCACAGACTGCGAAACTCGCGCTCTGGGATGCGGGTCCCACCCTGGGACTGACAAACTGTGTGACTTAGAGCTTAGAGCAAGTATCTTCAACCCTCTGTGCCTCAGCTTTCTCTTCTGAAAAATCAGAATTACGGCACCTGTTTCACAGCAGCAGTGAGAGGACCGGATAAAAGGACACACAAGAAGCCCGGATCCCTGTGTGTGATGAAGAAAAAGCCTTGCAAATGTCACCTTTATCAACGACGCTAGGAAGATCTATGCACTTAGAAGTCACTACTCAGGCCAGGCATGGCGGCTCACGCCTATAGTCCCAGCACTCTGGGAGGCTGAGGAGGGTAGATCACCTGAGGTCAGGAGTTTGAGACCAGCCTAGCCAACATGGTGAAATCCCATCTCTACTAAAAATAAAAAAAATTAGCCAGGCAGGGTGGCAGGTACCTGCAATCCCAGCTACTTGGGAGGCTGAGGCAGGAGAATCTCTTGAACCCAGGAGGCAGAGGTTGTGGTGAGCTGAGATCGCACCACTGCACTCCAGCCTGGGCGACAAGAGCGAAACTCAGTCTCAAAAAAAAAAACAAGTGACTACCCAAAACTAGGCAGTGTCTAAAACTGGTGACAATATAATGTATTATTCATGAAGAAAACAGAAAAAGAACTTTCCATGTGTCCAGAAAACTATTCTGGCACATAGCAGGCACTCCATAAATGCTGAAGAATTGAATCAAGATAAATTCAGTGTTGCTGCTGTAAAATGTGGATCTAATCAGAGCCAAAACAAGCTGTTAAACACGTTCACAATGAACTGAAATTTTTCTAGAAAAAAACACATCATATATTTTACTCCTCTGGAAAAGAAAAATAAAAGAATGTAAAATATCCCATTGGCTACCTCATTGATAATTTTTATACTGATTATAGGTTGCACGGATACTATTTTAGATTTATTGGATTATATAAGATGTTATGAAATTAATTCATGTTTCTTTTGTATGTTTATAAGAAAATGTAAAATTATAGGCCAGGTGTGGTGGCTCGCACCTGTAATCCCAGTACTTTAGGAGGCTGAGGCAGGAGGATCACCTGAGCCCAGAAGTGCGAGACCAGTCTGGGCAACACAGCAAGACCCCACCTCTTTTTTTTTTTTTTTTTTTTTTTTTTGAGACAGAGTCTCGCTCCATGGCCCAGGCTGGAGTACAGTGATGCGATCTCGGCTCACTGCAATTTCCACGTCCCAGGTTCAAGCAATTCTCCTGCCTCAGCCTCCCAAGTAGCTGGGATTACAGGAGTCCACCACCATGCCTGGCTAATTTTTGTATTTTGAGTAGAGATGGAGTTTCACCATGTTGGTCAGGCTGGTCTCAAACTCCTGACCTCAGGTGATGCCCCTGCCTTGGCCTCCCAAAGTGCTGGGGTTACAGGCCTGAGCCACCACACCTGGCCTTTTTTAAATTTTTTGTTGTTGTTGTTTTTATACAGATGAGGAATTCCTATGCTGCCCAGGCTGGTCTCGAACATCTGGTATATTTTTTAAAATAAAAATAAAAAAATTTAAAATTATAAATGTGGCTCACGTTATAATTCTAGTTAACAATGCCAACCTGGAGCTTAGAGAAAAAATTGGGAAACATGAAAAAAATAGGAAAATAAATCTATATGTTTTCATCCAATAATTCCACAATTCCACTTCAAGAAATGTATCCACAAAAATAACACAGTAGATCTATAACATCCAAACTGGAGGGATTTCCACAATGAACTAGGAAGAACAGGAGGGCTGTGTGTGTGTGTGTGTGTGTGTGTGTGTGTAAATGTTTAAAACTGGCTTCCAAATTCCCAAATATACATACCAATATATGATTATAAAAGATTATATGAGAAATATTTGTAGGTCTTTTTTTTTCTGTGGTAAATGTGTGGCTATAGCCAGATAATAAGCAATCCCACCACCACCACCAAAATTAAATAAATAAAACATCTGCGTCAAAACAACAGGTGCTGTATGACCTAATTTATGTAAAATCATGTTTGTGTACGGATATAGAATAAAGCAATTCATAAAAATATGGCACGAAGGCTGAGCACGGTGGCTCCTGCCTGTAATCCCAGCACTTTGGGAGGCCGAAGCAGGTGGATCACCTGAGGTCAGGAGTTCAAGATCAGCCTGGCCAACATGGTGAAACCCTGTCTCTACTAAAAATACAAAAATTAGCTGGGTGCGGTGGCGCATGCCTGCGATCCCAGCTACTCAGAAGGCTGAGGCACGAATCACTTGAACCCAGGAGGCAGAGGTTGAGGTGAGCTGAGATCGCGCCACTGCACTCCAGCCTGGGAGACAGAGCAAGACTCCAACTCAGCATATATATATATATATATATGGCAGAAAATTGTTAAATATGATTATCTCAAGGTCATGGGTTTCAGATAACTACCAAAAAAGAAAAAATTATTCTCCAGAAATAATTCATAAAATTCAAAATATGCTTGCCACATTATCTGTAATAACAAAAAAAAAAGAGGAAAATGGTTTAATAATAACCCTAACTCCACAGTGTGCTATTTTAGTTACTAAGTAATCGTTATGAAGACTCCTCTTATGATACTATTGGAGATGGTGGAGATAATGAAGACTGTGGAGAAACGCTGATGTGCTAAGTGACAAGCTCAGCACAGGGTACAATTCTCCTGGTGCATAAATACATGTCACAAGGTAGCTTAACACATGGAAACAATTATGCAAGGAGAGGGATTACGCGTGTGTGTTAGTCACAAGTGTCTATTAATAACATGTGCTTGGTAGAATTTGCCAGAGAAGCCATCAGAGCCTGAGCTACTTTGTGGGGAGATTCTTAACATAAACATAATTTCTTGACTTACTATAGGTCAGTTCAGCCTATTGCTTCTAGCAGTTTTAGTAACTGATAGTCTCTAGGAATTTGTCCGTTCATCTAAATTACCTAATTTGTTACCATAAAATATTGTCCTATCTGTGACTGAAAGTGGGGTGCTAAAGTTCCTATTATTGTGAATTGTCTATTTCTCCCTTCAATTCTGTCAGGTTTTGCTGCTTGTGTTTTGGGGCCCTCTTGTTAGGTAAATATTCATTTACAATTGTTACATCTCCTTGCTGAACTAATTATTTGGTCATTCTGAATTGTCTATCTCTAGTAACACTTTCTGTCTCAAAATCTGTTTTATCTGATATTAGTATAGCCAGTCCAGCCCTCTCATAGCTGCTGTTTGACAGATTCTCTTTGTCCAGCTTTTTACTTTCAACCTATTTGTGTCTTCTAGCCTAAAGTAAGTCTCTAGTGTGCCTTCTGGAATCACCACTCAAATAAACCATCTGCAAATGAGCCCTGTCTCAGCCTCTGCTTTCAAGGGGAAGCCCAAACTAAGATGATGGCTAATCTGAATGTACCATAAAATCGATGTATCCTCAGTGGAGACTGCCTTACCTTCCGTCTTGAATCTTTATCTTTTCCGTGATTCCTTACTAAATTCTCGGCATACCTGGAAAGCAAACATAATCAAAATCAAAATTTACTTTTAAATGAGCGCTTTTAAAAAATAAAACATTTTCCATATCAGTGAAAGTTCTTAACAATATTTTGATACGATTAAGAACTACTATAACCAGGGGCAACGACTTGCACTTGTAATCCCAGCTATTTGGGAGCCTGGGGCAGGAGGATCGCTTAAGGCCAGGAGTTCGGGACCAGCCTGGGCAACAGAGTAGACCCCATCTCTACAAAAATAAAAAATTAGCCTGGCATGGTGGCACATGCCGTAGTCTCAGCTACTTGGGAGGCTGAGGCAGGAGGATTGCTTGAGCCCAGGAGTTTGAAGCTGCAGTGAGCCATGATTGTGCCACTGCACTCCAGCCTGGGTGACAGAGCAAGACCCTTTCTCAAAAAATAATTAAAAAAAAAAAAAAACTGTTGCAGGTTAGCAAAGCATGTTTTATTATAGCAATAAATGTTAAAGTCTTCCTAGCATTCTTACTCTTTTAGCAATAATTCAAGACAGAGAATATCTTCCAGAGAAGAAATTACGTGTTTTAACAAACTTGTGTGTGAGTGCAAATCTACATTCTTTAGGAGTTCTTGGTCGGGTGCGGGGCTCATGTCTGTAATCCCAGCACTTTGGGAGGCCGAGGTGGGCAGACTGCCTGAGGTCAAGAGCAGTCTGGCACACGGTGAAACTTCATCTCTACTAAAAATACAAAAAAATTAGCCAGTCATGGTGGCATGTGCCTGTAATCCCAGCTACTTGGGAGGCTGAGGCAGGGGAATTGCTTGAATCAGGGAGGTGGAGGTTACAGTTAGCCAAGATCATGCCGCTGCACTCCAGCCTAGGCAACAGAGCAAGACTCCATCTCAAAAAACAGAGTTCTAGAAATTTTCTATAATTTTATTGGTCTGTCTGAAATACTATTTTATATTAAATATAAAATAAAATATATAATATGTAATACAAATATAAAATAAAAGATATTTCTAAAAGAAAGATTTATCTTGAAATATGTTTTACTTTTAAATCACATTTCATGTTAGTTAGGACCTAAAATAAAGATGTGCAAAATATCAAACTGATTCTCAATTTTTAAACTTTCATTCATACCAATATACCATGTGGTTTAACAAAAGTACTGAATTGAGCAAAAGAGTCTTCTTGTGCCTTCTAGTGGACATGCAGTATAAAACCCAGGAACTGACACCCGAGGTTTAAGTGTTAGCTTTGCCCAAACTTGTAAAAATTTGGGTAAGACATTTAACCTGGGTTTTCTAATCTTTGAAAAAGGATTACAAAATCTGATTGTCAGAAAGAACAAATTAAAGTCTAGGGCTTATATATGAGAGTTTAGGCCAGGCACGGTGGCTCACGCCTGTCATCCCAGACTTTGGGAGGCCAAGGTGGGTGGCTCACTTGAGGCCAGGAGTTCGATACCAGCCTAGCCAACATGGCAAAACCCCATCTCTACCAAAAATACAAAAATTAGCTGGGCATGGTGGTGTGTGCCTGTAGTTCCAGTTACTCGGGAGGCTGAGGCAGAACAGCTTGAACCTGGGAGGCGGAGGTTGCAGTGAGCCAAGATCGCACCACTGCACTCCAGCCTTGGTGACAAAGTGAGACTCTGTCTCAAAAAAAAAAAAAAATAGTTTATACAGAAACTCCAATTAATCTATAATCTTCGCAAAACCCACATGACACAGGAATTATCATCATTGCTTTAGCGAAAGGCCACCCAACACTGCAACTAAAAGGTAGACAGGAAATTCCAACCAAGGCTGACCCCCACCCCCAGCTCTGGGGGTCTCTGCCAAGGCATCAGGGTGGAATGTTCCGTCCTGGGTGTTCACAAGCGACAAACAATGGGCAGAGGGGGACTTGCCGGCATGTACTGTTTTTAGTGGCTGTGAACCAGAATGGTTTGCTCAGGTCTGTAAAGGGGCGAAACCGCCCACCTGTGGATCTTTAACTTCAGGCAGGGAGGACGCCCTCTTGCACATGAAGAGGCTCCCAAGTGAATTATTCTCCCCAAAGTCAGTACCAATTTTCTAATTTTGCATGAGCAAATGTTAAAAAGGACAAAAACAGATCCTGAGGCAATAAATAGAAACAATAATATTAAAATGGAAAAAATAAAAATAAATATAATTAATTTAAAAGGCAAAATAAAAAACTAATAATTTCATAATAAGTTTCCAAGCTCCTCTAGTATTCCTAAAACATACCAACCCATTTGGAGGGGCTAAGGGGTAAAATCTAGAGAAAATGAAGTATAACTGATTCCCACAGACTGGCCACCACTGGAGCCAGTAAGAAAATTCCCTGAAGCATTCCACGAGAGCGGCACACGTCAAGGTCGACCACAGGGCACGCAATCCTTACTGGCTGCTGGTCCCATCTCTTTTTGAGCTTGCACCTCGATTTCTGTGTTCACCGTTCTAGCAAACAAAAGAATAATCCCATAACCATTTATTAACATATGGGAATGAAGTAAGCATAATTAGTAAACCCCATAAAACAAGAATGGATTGAAAATTTAACAATAGCATCTACACCACAAGTATCTTTTAAATAACTATTTTGGCCAGCTATTTTTAGTAAATTAGATAATTAAATGTAAAGAAAATGGATAAAAGTATATATAAAAGGGTGATTATGCCAGGCGCGGTGGCTCACGCCTGTGATCCCAGCGCTTTGGGAGGCCAAGGTGCGTGGATCACCTGAGGTTGGGAGTTAAGAGACCAGCCTAACCAACACAGAGAAATCCCGTCTCTACTAAAAATACAAAATTAGCTGGGCGTGGTGGTACACACCTGTAGTCCCAGCTACTCAGGAGGCTGAGGCAGGATAATTACTTGAACCCAGGAGGTGGAGGTTGCAGTGAGCCGAGATCACGCCACTGCACTCCAGCCTGGGCAACAGAGCGAGACATCATCTCAAAAACAGAAACAAAAACTTTACAAAATTAATCAGAAAAAAGTGTTATGTTTAACAGAACAATGTGTTGTGGTCCGTAAAATGAATTGGAATGGGAAAAAAATAAAATCACTAGTGCTGGGTAGGAAAAATTATGATTTACTGACTAGATATAAAAAGGGAAGAGAAAAAAAAGTCATCAAGTTAATGTTAAGAGTCAGACCTGGGTGTGGGCAAGCAGCGCATAGCACTGGGGGCCCTGGCTGTGGTGATGGCAGCCAGTCAGGCTGCACGTGGGGCCAGGGGAAGCGTGCTGTGATTATCTCAGCACCTACCACACAGGGAGGCAGGTAACGCTGCTCACCCAGATGGCCTGCAAATGGCAGAGCTGAGAAAAAGCTCAGCACGTTGTCGTCAAACTCCTGTGGCCTCATCACACAGTCCCTCAGGACTAACACTCTGGACAGGAGAGTCCTGGGCTGGAAAAGGTATTTACAAGTGATCACTTGAATCCACTACTTCCAGGAGCAGAAAGGAGATGATCCAATCTTGAAAAGGATAAAAGTATGGCAGGTATGGTGGTTCACATCCTAATCCCATCCATTTGGCAGGCTGAAGTAGCTTGAGGCCAGGAGTTCAAGATCAGCCTAGGCAACACAGCTAGAACCCATCTCTAAAAAAATTGCTTTTGCCGGGCATGGTGGCTCACGCCTGTAATCCCAGAACTTTGGGAGGCCAAGGTGGGCGGATCATGAGGTCAGGAGATGGAGACCATCCTGGCTAACACAGTGAAACCCCGTCTCTACTAAAAATACAAAAGTGGTGGTAGGCGCCTGTAGTCCCAGCTGCTCAGGAGGCTGAGGCAGGAGACTGGCGTGAACCCCGGAGGTGGAGCTTGCAGTGAGCGGAGATCACACCACTGCACTCCAGCCTGGACAACAGAGCGAGACTCCGTCTCAAAAACAAAAATTGCTTTTTAAAACGATAAAGGTGAGGGGATCTGCGCCAAGATGGCCAAATAGGAACAGCTCCAGCCTCCAGCTCCCAGCGTGAGCAACATGGAAGACGGGTGATTTCGGCACTTCCAACTGAGGTACGGGGTTCATCTCACTGGGGCGTGTTGGACAGTGGATGCAGCCCAACAAGTGAGAGCTGAAGCAGGGCAAGGCATCGCCTCACCCGGGAAGCGCAAGGGGGAAGGGAATTCCCTTTCCTAGTCAAGGGAAACCGAGACACACGACACCTGGAAAATTGGGTCACTCCCACCCTAACACTGCGCTTTACCAAGGGTCTTAGCAAAGGGCACAATAGGAGATTATATCCCGGGCCTGGCTCGGAGGGTCCCACGCCCATGGAGCCTCCCTCATTGCTAGCACAGCAGTCTGAGATCTAACTGCAAGGCAGCAGCGAGGCTAGGGGAGGGGCACCCAGCATTGCTGAGGCTTAAGTAAGTAAACAAGGCTGCCAGAAGGCTGGAACTGGGTGGAGCCCACCACAGCTCAAGAAGGCCTGCCTGCCTCTGTAGACTCCACCTCTGGGGACAGGGCATAGCCAAACAAAAGGCAGCAGAATCCTCTTCAGATGTAAATGTCCCTGTCTGACAGCTTTGAAGAGTAGTGGTTTTCCCAGCACGGAGTTTGAGATCTGAGAACGGATAGACTGTCTGCTCAAGTGGGTCCCTGACCCGAGTAGCCTAACTGGGAGACATCCCCAACTAGGGGCAGACTGACACCTCACACCTCACACGGCCAGATACACCTCTGAGACGAAGCTTCCAGAGGAACGATCAGACAGCAAAGCAATATTCACTCTTCTGCAGCCTCCGCTGCTGATACCCAGGCAAACAGGGTCTGGAGTGGACCTCCAGCAAACTCCAACAGACCTGCAGTTGAGCGTCCTGACTGTTAGAGGGAAAAATAACAAACAGAAAGGACATCCACACCAAAACCCTATCTGTATGTCACTATCATCAAAGCCCAAATGTAGATACAAACCACAAAGACGGGGAAAAAGCAGTACAGAAAAGCTGGAAATTCTAAAAATCACAGCGCCTCTCCCCCTCCAAAGGAACGCATCTCCTCGACAGCAACAGAACAAAGCTAGAAAGAGAATGACTTTGATGAGTTGAGAGAAGAAGACTTCAGACAACCAAACTTCTCCGAGCTAAAGGAGGAAGTTCAAACCCATCGCAAAGAAACTAAAAACCCTGAAAAAAGATTTGACGAATGGCTACTAGAATAACCAATGCAGACAAGTCCTTAAACGATCTGATAGAGATGAAAACCATGACACGAGAACTACGTGATAAATGCACAAGCTTCCGTAACCGACTTGATCAACTGGAAGAAAGAGTATCAGTGATTGAAGATCAAATGAATGAAATGAAGCGAGAAGAGAAGTTTAGAGAAAAAAGAGTAAAAAGAAATGAACAAGCCTCCAAGAAATATGGGACTATGTGAAAAGACCAAATCTACGTCTGACCGGTGCACCTGAAAGTGACAGGGAGAATAGAAACAAGTTGGAAAACACTCTGCAGGATATTATCCAGGAGAACTTCCCCAACCTAGCAAGGCAGGCCAACATTCAAATTCAGGAAATACAGAGAACACCACAAAGATACTCCTCGAGAAGAGCAACTCCAAGACACATAATTGTCAGATTCACCAAAGTTGAAATGAAGGAAAATGTTAAGGGCAGCCAGAGAGAAAGGTCGGGTTACACACAAAGGGACGCCCATCAGACTAACAGTAGATCTTTTGGCAGAAACTCTCCAAGCCAGGAGTGGGGGCCAATATTCAACATTCTTAAATAAAAGAATTTTCAACCCAGAATTTCATATCCAGCCAAACTAAGTTTCATAAGTGAAGGAGAAATAAAATCCTTTACAGACAAGCAAATGCTGAGAGATTCTATCACCACCAGGCCTGCCCTACAAGAGCTCCTGGAGGAAACACTAAACATGGGAAGGAACAACCAGTACCAGCCATTGCAAAAACATGCCAAAATGTAAAGACCATCGATGCTAGGAAGAAACTGCATCAACTAACGAGCAAAATAACGAGCTAACATCATAATGACAGGATCAAGTTCACACATAACAATATTAACCTTAAATATAAATGGGCTAAATGCTCCAATTAAAAGACACAGACTGGCAAATTGGATAAATAGTAAAGACTCATCAGTGTGCTGTATTCAGGAGACCCATCTCACATGCAGAGACACACATAGGCTCAAAAAAAGGGATGGAGGAAGATGTACCAAGCAAATGGAAAACAAAAAAAGGCAGGGGTTGCAATCCTAGTCTCTGATAAAATAGACTTTAAACCAACAAAAATCAAAAGAGACAAAGAAGGCCATTACATAATGGTAAAGGGATCAATTCAACAAGAAGAGCTTACTATTCTAAATATATATGCAACCAATACAGGAGCACCCAGATTCATAAAGGAAGTCCTTAGAGACTTACAAAGAGACTTAGACTCCCACAAAATAATAATGGGAGACTTTAACACCCCACTGTCAACATTAGACAGATCAACAAGACAGTAAGTTAACAAGGATATCCAGGAATTGAACTCAACTCTGCACCAAGCAGACCTAATAAACATCTACAGAACCCTCCACCCCAAAACAACAGAATATACATTCTTCTTAGCACCACATCGCACTTATTCTAAAATTGACCACATAGTTGGAAGTAAAGCGCTCCTCGGCAAATGTAAAAGAACAGAAAATATAACAAACTGTCTCTCAGACCACAGTGCAATCAAACTAGAACTCAGGATTAAGAAACTCACTCAATACCACTCAACTACATGGAAACTGAACAACCTGCTCCTGAATGACTACTGGGTACACAACAAAATGAAGGCAGAAATAAAGATGTTCTTTGAAACCAATGAGAACAAAGATACAACATACCAGAATCTCTGGGACACATTTAAAGCAAGGTGTAGAGGGAAATTTATAGCACTGAATGCCCACAAGAGAAAGCAGGAAAGATCTAAAATTGACACTCTAACATTACAATTAAAAGAACCAGAGAAGCAAGAGGAAACACATTCAAAAGCTAGCAGAAGGCAAGAAATAACTAAGATCAGAGCAGAACTAAAGGAGATAGAGACACAAAAAACGCTTCAAAATATCAGTGAATCCAGGAGCTGGTTTTTTGAAAAGATCAACAAAATGGATAGACCGCTAGCAAGACTAATAAAGAAGAAAGAGAGAAGAACCAAATAGATGCAATAAAAAACGATAAAGGGGATATCACCACCAACCCCACAGAAATGCAAACTATCATCAGAGAATACTATAAACGCCTCTACACAAATAAACTAGAAAACCTAGAAGAAATGGATAAATTCCTGGACACTTACACTCTCCCAAGACTAAACCAGGAAGACCTGAGTAGACCAATAACAGGCTCTGAAATTGAGGCAATAATTAATAGCCTACCAACCAAAAAAAGTCCAGGCCAGACGGATTCACAGACGAATTCTACCAGAGGTACAAGAAGGAG